AAAGTAGCCAACAGCCTCATTGCTGTTGGCACTTGGAATCTCAGGAGGGAAAGGCAGTACTTTAACAGAATTATTCCTCTTATAGAGGCTTTGGGCAGGTGCCAGGAGGAAAAGTTCTTCTGCTAAGAGCAAACTCCCTTCTCTTGGCCCTGACAGATGACTGTCCCTTCCGTTTCTGAGGAGCTGAGTGCAGTGCTTTTTTTGTAAGAAAAAAGGTGCCAGCACTCATGAAATTATTTACCTTTCACACAGTCAATCACTGTACACACACCCACACACTTCAGTTGTGTAACGAAATGTAACAGTCGCCACCCGCAGTAAGCACTCAGCACGCAACCACACGACCAATCACAAGCCGAGCAATGCCACCACAACCAGCGCTGACCAAGTATGCATGCATCGGATTTGACACACAAGCAGCCCGCACGCACTGTTTTAATGATTTTGCCGCCGACCTACTACACTCGACAGGGCGATTAAAATCCATGTGGACCAAACATCAAATTTTTAAAAGTTATTTTTAAAACTTGGAAAATCTGTCGAAAAAAGGTGCCGGAACTCTGTTCCGGAGTTCCAGTGTGTTCTATGACAAAAAAAAAAAAAACACTGGCTAAGTGTATGAAACATCATAGAAAAGGGGTTCTGGAATTCTTTGGTTTCCTGTCCTGATAGCTTGGCCCTCGTTTCTGAGGAAAGAGAAGGTTTAAAATGTCTCCTCAGAAATGAGTACTCAAATTCTTTATGTCTATCATTTCTTCTGATCCTGAGCAGAGATGTGTGGCATTGTTAGGCTCTTAACATACTGAGATACAGCCCCCTCTATCTTGGACTCACTAGTTTTTTGAGTGGGTCTTTTCCTAACCTTGCAAGAACACAGTGAGGGGAATTCAGAGGAAGTCCCCTAAAACTGCAAGTGCCTCTCCCTTTTTCACCCCTTATGAGACTTATGCATCCCTAAACAGAACAACTGGGCTTCTGCCTCCCTTCCAGATCCAAGCCTACCCCTTCGTTTCCTGTGCCCAGGCAAGGAAAAAAGGGGTGAGGCCTGATTACTACTCAAGCCTGGCTCCAGTTGGGAAGATAAGCAGTCGGCCCTTGATAAGCTCACTCTATTATGCCAGTCAGTGGGTCGACCAATCAGGATAGCACTGGAGACTTACCTCAGCGCTGCCCCCGCCTCTTCTCACTCTCTCATAGCTTCTGTTGCTCCCACTGTGTGGAGAGATAATAGCATGCAAACCAGCTTTGCCTGAGGTTATCAGGACTTTGCTGTAAAATCCGGCCGTGGTCTTTGCCTTCTTAAGTATAGGCCCTGCTTAGTGTGAGTAAAGTGCTATACTCTAGTTACCTTGCTTAGCCTAATGAAAGCTGTAGACTTCTAGTTATCATCTCGTGGCCCTGGCCAGGTACCATCTGAGATATACAGGCATTCTTGGCAAAGAGATGGGACAAAGAACAGACGTGCAGCTGTATTGTTTTGTGATATGCAGCTTACTGGACCTGCTAATGAGCTTATGTTTTGTGGTATGCTTAGCTTAATTAGCTTATGATATTGCATCATATCATTTTGGCACATGAAGTGGGAGTAAGACTTTTAAGTTATGGGAAACTTGACTGGCACTGATGAGAAACTTCAAATGTTACATTTGGGCCTGGGAATGAAATAAACAGTTTGCCCAAGTATGTGTAAGGGGCCAGGGTGTGGGCAGCTAATGCACCAGGACACAGGAAACAAGGCAAGGTAGTCAAAGCCAGAATCTAATTACCAGTTCAAGTCGCAAGTCCAAACTGCAATTAGGCCAAAGTCGAAATAGTCTGTTGCTGCAGTTTGAGTAGCCAAACATGAGCCAGAAGTCAAGAGCTAGGGAGACAGCATGAAGGAGTGGGTACCTTGGAGCACGAATAAGGTCCAGCAGCAAGAACCAAACATGGCAAGAGCTTCAGCACACTGGAGACTGGTTTTGCTGAAGCAGCTTCTGGGGGAAGAGTCAGTTCTTAAACAGCCCTTTCCCAAAGGCTCCAAGGTGGTGTTCATGAGTGCTGTGGCTGCTGCAGCAGTGTGGGACAAATCCTGTAACAACTAGGGCTGTTGTTCTGATGCTTCAGCCTGAGCCCTGAAGCTCCCCAGATCCTGACAGTATGCTATAGACACCTGTGTAACATCCATCCCCTTCCTTAAGACTACAAGTGTCAGTACTATCTTAGTAATTAATAGTATCTAGCTTTCCAAGTATGCTTTGGTGTATAATTGCTGAACTTGTATTTCTTTTGTATGTTGTTTGGACTCTTATCACCCTGAGGCATTTTTGCTGACCATCCCTTCCAACTGATTGAAGCCTACCTTGCAGGCCAGTCCATGCCATGTGTTGTGACTTTTCTGCCAAACTCTGAAAGCTAGGTAACTCATAGTGCATACCCAAATAACATCTCCCTTGGGATCTCACAAACCTTTAGTCTACGACCAGGGCAACACATCTGGTCCTGGATAGAGAAAACTGGAAAAACATGGGGTAGCAATGGAGCAAGATCTCCTTTACAGTCCTGACAGGGTAGTGGAATGCTGCTCTTTGTTGTGTTCTGGGCCCAACTGTCCTGATTCAGCCCAGGGTACTGATAGCCAGAATCGAGCAGCAATGGTCCAAGTGTTTTCACATCAAAATGAAGAGAAGGCTCAACATCTTAGCTAGTTAACATGTAACCCAGTTAGGGAGAGCCTCACTCACAATGAAGAGGGGGTGAAACCCAATGGCCTGGCTTCACTGCAGGTAGAAAGTGCTTGGAACCTGCCTCAGTTCTGCAGTACTCTGTGCTTTGGTGGCAGTGGCATAGAGTACATTCTCTTAGGTGGGAAATAAGGGTATGCCCTTCCTCACAAAAAAATCACAGCACTGCTTGAGGCCACTACTTCATAGGAAGCCCAATTCCAGTTCAGGAAGGTGGTTCTTTCCAGCATGCAGGAGTTCTAGGGACCCATCTGCAGCAAAGTATGGGTATGTATGCTTATATGTTGGCACAGAGTGGGGTAGTACAAGGGAGTATTAGCAACAGTGCTATTCTTCGAAGTGGCTGCTTCCACTGAGCAACAAAAACCCTACCAGGGCTGAGGACAGACCCAGGGGAGTGTGTGGACCAATGAGGGAGAGGCAGGCCAGGCAGGCAGCAGCAGATCAACCTAGGATAGAATTTCAGCAGTGGTGGTGGATGACATACGTGCTGCCATTAGGAGGAATGATGGAGGGTGGAATCCGTGCAAGTGGGAAAACCACGCAATTGTTTGCACTTCAAAACCAGGCATGGAACTACACTGCATGGAAACCATATGACATGCTTTAGCATTATGTGTGACTGCAACCAGTTTCTGGATGTACCCCCTGAGTTTTGCATTAAGTGAATAACTCCCAATTACTTAATGGAAACGATGAATTTTTTGTTTTATTAATTTTTTTAAAAGAATTTTAAAATTAATTTTTAATTTAAAAAACCCTAGCCACTGCTAACCTTGACCGCACCCCATAATCCTCAAAGCATTTATTTATTTGTAAGCTGCCCCGAGGCTTTGGCGAATGGGGCGGCCTAGAAATTTTCTAAATAAATAAATTTAACACTTTATTTCACCATACAGTACCATTTTGTCCTGTACAGTTCCTCCTTTCACATCCACCTCTCCTATGCAGGGAATGCTGAAAGTTGTACCAATAGTTTGGAAGTGATTACTATCAAACCAAACTTCAGTATATACATAATTATCTTACAATGTAATGGTGCCACCTGGTGTTTCAAGAAGCAATATTAAGACTATCTAGTTAAAGATAGACAAAGGAATGGAATAGGACAGAAGGGTGGGTGGGTGGGTGGGTGGGTGTGTGTGTGTGTGTAGACATAATCTGCCCCACTCTAACAGGCTGTGGGCCTAAAGAGAATTAGAAGTCAGATAAATACTTGCCAGTCTCACTCAGCCATCCCCGATTGGTCTAGATGTACCTGCTGCCCATCACTGGCTAAGACAGTGTAAGACAGATTGCATAATGTGCTCGTGCGCGCTCTCGCTCTCGCTCTCTCTCTCTCTCAATTCCCACTGTTAGGAAGTGATTTGTGGGAGGAATTATCAGTTCTGATCTGTCCAAGTAAATGTCCTCTGGACGGCACTGCTTCTTTGACAGAGTGAGTTACATGAGGATGCATGTCCTACACTGAAGAACAGTGACCCTAAGGGTATAGAAGCTGAATTTCACATATTGAATGAGACAATCAACTGTAAACTCACTGTGGGGATAAGACTGAGAACAGGAGGAGAATTCTGTAAGCCACTTTGAGTTCTTCTGAAGAAAAAAGCAAGATATAAATCAAATAAATGAATAAACTTGTAAACAATATTTAAGAAAAAATGGTCTCCTGTTCCTTACTTTCATATTTACAGTTCTACTGGTCCTTGGAAGCAGCATAAACAACTCCGATGCTAAAAAGTGGTTTTAGGCAAGCTTATGCAGCCAAAAATGAAGAACCAGAGGCTACAGTAGCACATGTTAGGCCATGGTCAATGTTTACCAGGGTTTGTTGTTTTAGTTTGAATTATCATGAAGATAAGAAACAAAATATGACTTTTGCCCTGCTCTAGTTTGTTTCCCTTCTATTTTCCCAACCTGATCGGGTTGATTTTCAGACTACTCTTACTGCAACCCTTTTTCAGGAAGGACAAAACAAGCCAACTTTCTAGATTAAAACATTACTAAGTAGACTTCATACACTAACATAAACCATGGCTTCTTATTGGTGGTTTTATAGCTGGTTAACAAATAGATACCATGATAAATCAGATTTCAACTAATGTTACTATGCCTTAATGTTACGTGAGAACCAGTTTAGTATGTTTGTAAGATTCCTTTATCATAGCATTTTATAAAGGATGGAAAACCAGTGAAACTGATCAATTAGTCTGTCACTAAGTGAAAAAGGCTTTTGATTCTATATTAATTTGAGCATTTTCAATTAAGACAAATACATTTTCTACAGAAACTTTTAATTTTTTAAAAAACAAATTGCTTCAAGACAGTGTTTTGTGACCAATGTGCATCAATAATTCCAATGGAAACACTTGAGTTTCCTTAGTATACCAATAAAACTAAAAGCATACCACAGAAAGTCAGAGCATATTAAGTTGGCACATTTAAGCTTCCAAGAACAAAACTAACTTTTTTATAAAGGACTGACTGAGTATACCCATACATAACATTTTAGCTGCTACAAAATACTTTCAGCTTCTTACAAAACACAGCAAATTGACATTTTGGCAAACAACAACTCTGAAAACAATGCACAGACAACAAGAAGAAAAGAATTTGTACAAGTGGAGCAAGTTTGGCAATTTGAAAAGAAAAAGTAACTTTCCCTGTCATTAACCAAGAACTGAACATACAGTAAGTAGTCAGGTAAATATACTACAGCACTAATCCTGAAACATACAAACACATTTCAGTCTCTAAAATGACTTGGTCTTTCCATTTGAACTAAGTATTGCTTGTTAATACTGGGCCAAATGCTATCAGGACATTTAAATACTTTAAAAATGAAAGGTTAAATGGGGTTTTTCACAATTACCCCACCAAATTGTACACATTAAAATACTATGCTTATAAAATTTAAAACTTTCAGCAATCTAGTCTCAAATGCAACCCTTTTTAAGTCCTCTTTAATATGTACTTTACAAATATTTAGACTGTATTCATTCATTTTCAGAAGTGGAGCCCTTCGTCTTCTCTTGTTCTCTCCCATCACCAGCTATCCTAGAGGAAAAACACAGAGCCAATGTATTCCAAACATATTTTGGCTATACTTTTATTATTACTACAATGAATAATACATTCACAATTACTTATAATTTAAGTCCTATTTGGGGTATGCATTAGAAACAGTCCAGGACAATGGTGCATAGGTAGAAAACACAAATGCAATATGCAGCCCCCACCACCCACATGCTTCTACATAACAGCAACAATAACATTTGCAACTTAGTACTAGTACGTCAGAATTTTCTATCTCACTATGCATAATTGCAGACACAGGATTGATTTGAAAGGTGGCTATCATTGCAGGTATCTTAGGTCTGTTCTGTGTTTCCCAAACGCTTGCTCCTGAGGCACACATTTTGACTGAATGAAAATCGGAGAGACACTTCTCTTAAAAATGTTCAGTTTGGGCACAGAAGTAAAAATGAAATGCTCTCGGAAAGGAAGTCACTTTTTATATTTCTGTGTGAGTCACTATTCCAGGCGAGTGAGGACAGATATGATGCAATTACCTCCAATAAGGAGATAAAAAATAATTACCCTCCATGACCAAACCATTAAGAGCAGTGAATTGCGAAGGGATGCAGTGGGCATTGTCTTCCATAGGTGACAGAAGTATCCTATTACCCCACTTGTTTTATCTTGGTACACAAGCAGTTCTCTTGTGACACTTGGGAAATTGTCAAGTCTTTCAATGAGGTACTATTTCAGACCTTGCCATTTTTATTGTTGCTACCATCAGTCATCTGTGCTAACTTTAAAAACTGTTTAATGCAGCAGTCCCCAGCCTTCTTGGAACCAGGGACTGGTTTCATGGAAGACAATTTTTCCACAGACCGGTGGGAGGGGATGGTTTCAGGATGATTCAAGCACATTACAGTGGTGCCTCATTCTTTGAACTTAATTTGTTTCAGGAGGTCGTTTGAACTCTGAATTGTTCAAAGTCCAGATCAATTTTTCCCATTAGAAATAATGGAAAGTGAATTAATGTGTTCCCAGATCCTAAGAAATACCTATTTTGATAAAATTAACAGCAAATATTACCTCTTGAAACGAATTTGAGGTTACATAGGAGGTATGATGAAAAATATGGTGAATGTTTAAATAAGTTATTACAGTAAGACACATAATAACTGTCTTATTAATCCCCCTCAAAATGCTCCCCCTTGGTTCAAGTGCATTTACCCCATCGTTCTTGAGTGTCTTTAGTTGCACTGTTGCGGCTGCCTCAATGTCCTGAATTGATTCAAGATGAATGGATTCAAGACAAGACGAATCAATTCAGCCAAATGGATTCGAGACAAATCAATTGAGGACATCAAGGCAATGTGTCTTTTACTGCATTTTTTTTCAACTTCAACGCACAACCAATGACACTTTCATTGTGACTGTATTTTTTTCTAATCTACTCGCAGGTCAAACTTAAAAGCATTGTTCCAACTGCGGAGCATTCTTATCGACTCTAATGTTCGAACTCTGGATTGTTCAAAGTTAGAGTTCTGCCAAGAGGCCCAGTTCCTGACAGGCGCCAGGCCAATACCAGTCCGCAACATAGGGGTTGGGGGCCCTGGTTTAATACAATTTGACATGGAAAACAGCTGAATATATAAAGTTCAGATAAAAAGATACTAGAGCCTATTGCAGCACATAGCTGAACCAATTTATATAACCAAAGAACACAAAAACAGGAGATGGTGTTAGGTAGGGTTGTGACCTAACTACCACGAATCTGTTCCTTTTCACTTTGTGCACTTCCTCTCATGTGTGGCCCTGTTTCTGAAAGCAAGCCAAGCCAAAAGGAAACCTGCAAATACTTGTGGAACTCTGGTTGTGCAATATCACATTCACCACATAGGCAGCAAGGCACATGCATGGAAGAGCAATGCCACGTCCACAGCATTTGCAGGGGGCTTGGTTCCTGGTAAGCACTGTGCAAACGCTTGGTGTACTTACCCAAAAATTAGTCTCATGGCTTCAAGAAAGCGGGCTGAAATGGGGAGAGCTGAGCCCAGGAAATCTAATGGATTCCACCCCAAAAGCAGATTCCTCACACACCCTAGTGCTAAGTATGTCAATTTAGCCTTTTTTGTTTTAACAAAGTCGTAAAATTGATTAATGATTATTCAAAACAGAACAATTCTTCATTATTACTTTTAAAAGTGGAAATTTCCCCTTACTTTTTCTTACTGCCAGTATCAAGCTTCTCTCTCTTTTCCTCTGTGTTGTCTCCATTATGTTGTGACTGATTTGCATCCTGAGCATAAGAAGCACCATTCACTATCTTTGTCCCTTTAATATTAAAAAAAGCAAAAATATGCTTAGACTGATGGTTAAATTAGGAAAAGTAACAAACAACTAGTCCTGAAATAGCTGTGGTAGTTACACTGGGATGGATCTAGAATTACCACTCTCCAAGAAGATTCCTTTTCATGCACTGAGGGATGGAGGCAGACATTTTCTTCCAATTCCCCCTTGAGTTCCTAGCATCTTCTCCCATACAGTTGCAACCTTCCAGAACAACATAAATGCTGGCAATGGTGGACCCTCTGGAATAGCACAGAAAATGGCACTATGCCCTAGTGACTAAGGGATGCAGATGGATGTTGTAAGAAAATTACTGTCCTGCCTCCTTCAATAATTATTGAATCCTAGTGTTCATTGTGCAGTAATGAGCATGCATTTAAGCCCAATACATTATTTATAACGGGGGATAAGAACAGTATCTTTCGAAACTGTGGATTCTTGTACATAACAAGCCCCTACAGGAAGTTGTATCTTTTCAAATTTAAAATCATTAGTGCCAATCTATCTCTCTGAAGTGAATTGTGACTGAGTTATGACACGTTTCAGATTATTATATCTCAGCTTATGCACAAATATTTGACCACATGTTCTGTCCTCATGCTGCCCCTTCCTGGTATACTGTAACAAACCAGGTAGTCTTGTTTCATCTAAACTGGGAAGCTATGATTACTGAATCAGGAAAAAACTAAGATCAAACCATCATTAAATTGTGGTTTAAGACCCTGGATTGATCTGAACCCGGCAACCACAGCATCTTTACTATTATATAATCATAGGCCCATTGCTGTGTCCTGTACCTAAGTAAAAATATCATCTGAAGTAAACTTCAAAGCTAAATCCTGATACTCATATGAAAAACTGACCTGTTGAAATTTGATAAACATTTGCATTAAGCTGGTGTTTCAAAATACAAGTATTAACTAACATCTAAAAATGTAATGATAAAGTGTTTGTCCATCTGTACTAAAGGGCAAAAAGGAATATTTCGTATTAAATTTAGAGTTGCACAGCATATCCAAACTGAATATAGAAGAACTGATGTACTACAAATAATTGTCTGGATGATATGTTTAAATATTCCTTGTGAAAAGCATGTACCTGTTTGCTCTCTGTCTTTTTCAGCTTTCTTGTTTGGTCCTTTCTTCCACTGTTCTTTGGTTTTGTTTGCTTCTTCATGCTGCTTTTGTTCCGCTAGTGACTTATTTAACACTTGTGAAAGAACAGAATCTCCTTCACCAACAAGAAACATGGTCTTGAATTTGTTGTACAACATAGTGGATTTTTCCATGATAATCTGACTGACCTTGAACTTTCGTATCTGAAGAGATGTCAGGGGGAAATATGCATTTACACATCTGATTACAATACAGAGCTGCTTAAAGCCACCTCAAATTAACTAAAAACAATCAATTTTAGTACATAGAATAGATTTTGAAAATTATTGCACTGTATTCCAGATTTACTAACAAGCAAGCTTTCAACTTCAGGATGCACAAAGGTGCAAGTAAAATAGAAATTATGTTTTCATATTTCTTTAGGAGCGCTACCAATCTTACTTTTTTCAATGTTGAAATCATTTCTGCATGTTTCTGAGCTTGCTGCATTGTTACTTGAAGCGATGCAAGTTCATCCAAAGCTTCGATGCATCTGTTTACATCCTAATGTAATAAAATCCAAAAATTTAATTTCTCGGGAAAAATACATCACCACTACATACAATTTTAAACAATAAAGACAATTTAATACATACTAGACTACAATGTGAGTCTTGAACTGATTTCTCAAGTGTTATTTAACAGCATGCAGCCAACTATTACCACAATGTTTTATAGCATCACACTAAAGTCATCCTAAATTTACTCCTAAAACCATCTTTCCAGGCTTAATCTAGCAAAAATTAAACACTATTTAATTTTTCTCTTCCAAGTACTGAGGGCTTTTCAGTATCTGCCCTTGAGAAAAGTTATACACACATACAAATTTCAGACAAATCGCAGAAACATAGAAAAACAGAGCGAGTCAGAAGGGGCCTCCCGGACCATCTAGTCTGACCTCCGGCACCAGCCAGCTCCGCTCACGACATGCCCACCATGTGGAAGTCCAGCCTATCCTTGAACACCCGCACTGATGGGGCCTCAACCACCTCTCGTGGAAGCCCATTCCACACCCTTGGGGTCCTGACTGTCAGGAAGTGCTTCCTGGCATCCAAACAGAACCTTGGCTCTCTGAGCTTTGCTCCATTGGAGCACGTCCTGCCTTCCTCTGCAGGGGAGAACAGGTCTCTACCCATCTCCATGTGACATCCCCTCACATACCTGTATGTCGCCAACATATCCCCTCTGAGTCTCCTCTTTCTCCAGGCTGAAGAAACCCAGTTCCCTCAGTCTCGCCTCATACGGCATCCCCTACAAACCAGCCACCAACCTTGTGGCCCTACGCTGCACTGACTCCAACCTGGCTATATCCTTTCTGTAATGAGGGGCCCAAAACTGAGCACAATACTCCAGTTGCCGGCGCACCAGTCGTGTAGAGTGGTAGTAATACCTCTCTTGATCCAGAAGCCACACTTCTGGCTATGCAACCAAGGGTGGCATTCGCCCTCTTGACCACCGCATCACACTGCTGACTCATGTTTAGCCTGCAGTCAACCAGCACCCCGAGGTCCCTTTCACAAGCGCTGCTCTCCAGCCACCTGTCCCCCAACCTGTACTTATGACACCTATTCCTATGCCCCAAGTGCAAGACCTTGCTCTTATCCACATTGAACGCCATCCTGTTGTCTCCTGCCCACTTCCATAGTCTGTCCAGATCCTTTTGTATCTGGAGTACCTGCTCCTCAGTTGTGGCCACTGCTCCAGTTTTAGTGTCATCTGCGAATTTGATCAGAGACTGTTCACCCTTTCTTCCATGTCGTTAATGAAAAGATTAAACAGGATCAGCCCCAGGACAGAGCCCTGTGGGACCCCGCTTGTCACTGGCCACCATCCCGATGATTCCCCGCTAATGGTTACCTTCTGCTTTCGGTCAGTCATCCATGCCCTCATCCACCAGACAGTGCTTTGGTGTATCCCAAAACTCCTCAGTTTCTCAACTAGGATATCATGGGGCACTTTGTCAAAGACCTTGCTGAAATCCAGGTATACCACATCCACTGCATCCCCTCCATCTAGCCATCTCGAAACCTTGTCATAGAATTCCACAAGGTTTGTCTGGCAGAACCTGTTTTTGCGGAAGCCGTGTTGTGTGGCTGTCAGCCTCCCTTCCCTATCTAGCATCACTAGATCTCTATTATGAGCCTTTCCATTGTTTTTCCTACAATGGACATAAGGCTAACCGGTTTACAATTCCCCATGTCCTTTCTTCTACCCTTCTTGAAAATTGGGACCACTGATGCCACCCTCCAGTCCTCTGGAACTTCACCCGTTCTCCACGAGGTCTCAAAAATGGAGGCCAGTGGGCGTGAGAGAACCCCTGCCAACTCTCTAAGTACTCTCGGGTGTAACCCGTCAGGGCCTGGCGCCTTTGTAATGTCCAATGCCCTGAGGAGCCCCTCGACTTCAAGGGGGGTGACTCTAATCTGTGCCCCTAAGTCCCCAGCCTCATCTAATCTCCTATGTGGATATCCCCCATCCTGCTTTGGGGAGAATACAGAGGCAAAATAATCATTTAGCATCTGTGCCTGTTCCCTCATATCAGTCACTGGATCTCCTTCCTCCTTATTTAGTGGTCCCACCACTTGTCTCCCCTTCCTCTTCCTATTTACATGCTGAAAAAAGCCCTTTTTGTTGCTCTTGATATTGTTGGCAAGTCTCAGCTCGTAATCAACCTTAGCCTTGCAAAGAATCCTTCTGCAACGGGCCTCCTCCTCCCGGTATACCCTTTTGTCTATTTCCCCCAGTACCCATTTCCACGGAGGTTCCTCTTTCGTCTAATCCCTCTAACCACCTCCTTTCGCATCCATGGCGGCACTCTCCTCCGCCTCCCCAGCTTACTGACTAGAGGTATCGTCGAGGCTTGTGCCTCCAAAACCTCCCTTTTGAGTGCTATCCACCCCTCCTCAACTCGCTTACCTTCCAGTAACCTATCCCAGGAGACTTTCCCCAGTCTGGCCTTCAGTTGGCCAAAGTTGTTGTTGTTGTTATTATTTACATTTTTATACCATCCCATAGCCCATTGGGCTCTCTGGATGATTTACAAATTCAATTATGAAATATACAATAAAAGCAATATAAAAGCAACAGTAACACAACAATAAACCCATAATAACCCCGAGCGAAAACCCAGTACCTGAACCAACACCAAAAGAGCACCAAACGAGTACCAAACAGGCAATGCCCTTTGGCAGTTGCCCAAGGACCCCACCCTGTGTGCCAGCCAGCTCTGAAGGTGCAGCCAGTACAGGTCCTCCAGGATGGAATGTGAATCTTGCCATGACAATTCACATGCAGCATTACCATGAATGTGAATAGTACCATGATAATTATAATGCTGAAATATGAGGTTAGCCAAGGGGGCCACATCCACAAGATACTTTGAACCTTTGCATTATCAGCTAACAATAGCATGTGATCTGGTGAATTAAATTATCTCCCAAAAAAGATGCAGATGTGAACAATACATTCACACAGAGTTTTCAGGCACATCTATAGTGAAGTTAGCTTATGACAGTTTCATTTCTAATTTACTGAGGTAAAAAAGATTAAGGTGATACTTTCAATGTATATCAAAGTTGGCCCTCTTGAAGTCCCAGCTTCTAGTGCTCGACCTGCTGCACATCCCCAGTCCCCTAATCATCTTTGGAAGGTCTTAAAAATAAAGGCTTCTAGAAATGGGTGAGTAGATAGCTTAAAACTAGGTAAGTGCTTAGACGCATGGGAAGTTCTTTTCTTAAACATAATAATATGTCATTAATAGAGCAATCTTCACAATGAGTATCCTAAGGACCATAGAATATTTGGGATACCCTCTCCCAAGGCTGTAGACATTCTCTGATCTCAGAAGGGGGAAATTTGACCTCAAATCACTCTCCCTGCCCTTTGCAACTATCATGAAAAGCTGATTTCCAACAAGCTCATAGAGATCAAAATGGAGGCAATTTACTGTTTGAGAATGGTAAGAGAAAGGAGAGGCAAAGATTCTCAAAATCCTATAGATCCTCACCCCACCACCCTCTGCCATCCATTGCTGGTGAGCAAAATCACCTCCTTCGACTCTGCCGGCAACAAATGTGGAGGCTTCTATCTAACAGGAGTATCCACTGGTGAAATTAAAACATTAATTTATAAAAATGCAAGTTATTAATGACAATTCAAAAATTTAAGCTTTTCTTAACTTCTGCAAACTGTGACACAAATACTTACAAGGTGGTCAATTTGGAGTGAGTTCTTAATTTCTGCATGTATTCTTTGAAGCCGAGAATCCATTGATGTTTCTAAATTTTGATCACAATATATTGTACATGACAGTGAATATAAAACTTATTCAAAGATCATACCTTTGAATATCTGTAAGTAAATGGTGTAAGTGTACACTAAAACTGCTAAGCAACCCAGCAAGCAATAGTATAAGCACACTTTGTACAGTCCTCAAATATATACATATGGCTGAAGCGCAGGCAAAGCTATTTGCTTTTTCAATGAAATAACTACATTTCAATAAAAAGTTTCTCTAAAGTAGTTTAGGCCTGGAGAAATGTTGTCCATGGGGTCGTGATGGGTTGGGCACGACTTTGCAACTAAACAACAAAGCAGTTTAGTGTAATCTGTACATATTTACGTATAAAAAGTTTTTTCATATACAGTTGGCCCTCCACATTCATGGGCATTAGGAGCGCAGAACCCCCACAAAATTGGAATAACAATGACTATCTCTAGCCCCAACAACCAAACCTCATAAATAGTGCTAACCATACATAAACTGACTGGATTGCCTTTCTCCCCCCCCCCCCGACCTTGGTCTGATCCAACAAAGCTCTTCTTCATTTATTACTATAGTCTTATGTTTGTATTCCTCACCCTCTCTAACTCACCAGTGCCTCCTCTTTGCACCTAGGACATGCTGGAAATGAGTGGAACAGGAAGGCATGCTATGAAGGCCCTGCAACTTCTCTTTCTCTATGGTTATGATTTTCCACAGTAGGCCACAAAACTCCAAAAAAAATCCCCATTTAATTATTGATAGCAAACTCACGAATAATCAAATCAGAAAAGGTAAGCCCACGAATATCAAGGTTCAGATGTGTATTTTAATTTTCAATGTGGATATCCAACACTGTAAAATCAGTATGAATCCTGTAATATTATGCAAATAGGAAGTTTTGAGCAATATTCTTGCTTACATAATATAAAGCAAGGCAAATTTCTGGACACTGGGGGTTCCACAAATGCAAATTAAAAAGCTGAATGATGTGTACACAAGTGAAAGAAAAAAGCAGCATATGATAAAAGCTATATATACTTCCCTTTGGGTGTACCATAGTGAAAATAAGCTTACTGAATATCTAACAAAAGTGTCCCAAATAAATATTCCTTACAATTGGAAAACAAGATGTCACTACTGACCTCTTTTTTTCTCTATTTTCTTAGCTTCTGGTTTCTTGCCTTCTTCTTTGTTTTGCCTGTCAAAAATATTCAATAATTTAAATTAAAATTATAGCTTATACTTAAACAGGAAGCAATTTACTGGTGAGTAAATGAACTTCTTTTCTCCATTACAAAGACAACTTGCTTCTTGTGCTGTCTGCACACTATAGAAAGTATTTAATGTATTTATTTGTTTAACTAATGAGTATGCCACTTATTTTGGAGTCCCGGTCTGGTTCTATTTTAATGAAAGTTATCCCTGCTTACTTTGGTTTTAGGCAAATATGATAACCGGCATGGGATAATTAATTTGGTAAACCAGGTTGTAAAATGTAATTACTACATTACAATACCAATTTGTTAAGTGCAACAAAGTTTATAATAAATATTCTACTATGTACTGGTTTTACGTATCCTTAAGTACCTCACATTTACACAGCCATCTTATACTCACATTTCTTCCATTTGCTCTTCTTGCTTACGTTTTCTCTCCGCTATTTCACGTTCATGTTGGGCTTTTAAAATATTCCTCCTATGAGGTCCTGGAACATTTCTTCCCTTTTTCTTCTATTTCATTTAAATTTTGAATAGGAAAGAATACAGTATTTTTTGTTACTAAAATTTTGGTCAATTCCAAATCTACCTCAGATGAACACCTAGGGATAAAACTTATTCCTACTTTCTTCCAGTAAAATAAGCATCAGTGTGGTACACACAACTACCATGGTCTTCTAACCACACTGAATTTCCTGGTATTTTTTTTAAAGATGTCAGAAAGCACAAATATTCCGAGGTATCTTACAACAGTTTGGATCAGTAAAAGGGACAATAATTTCAAAATTTATTTTAATTATTTCTTAAAATGGAATTACATCGTGTTTCAACATACAACAATATGAGAAACATTACAATAAACAAATATCACATCTATTAGATTGTGAACCCATAGTCATGAACTTGTCTTATTTTTCAGCAGCTGCACAAAGGTTTGAAAACTGTGGATGCTTTATACAGTGCCTTGCAGAAATATTAACACAGACCTCCCTTGGACTTTTCCACATTTTGTTATGTTACAACCTGGAATTGAAATAGCTTTAATTGTCATTATTACCACTTGATGTTCACAAGATATTCTACACTGTAAAGGTGCAAAATTATTTTTATTGTGGTACAAAAGCAAGCAAAAAGAAATGGGACTTGTTGCATAAGTAATTGCCCCCTTTGCTGTGATATGCCTAAAATAGGTTTTGTACCACCCAGTGCCTCCAGAGTACTTTAAGTAGTTGAAGGACCCAGAGATAGTTGGAGAGAGTACCTTAACAAAGAGGAAGGCCATGCAGCTATCAGAACAATTCTAGCATAAAGTTCTGCAGAAGCACCAATCCAGGTTCAGTTCTTTTTACGTTTATTATAAAAAAGGAAAGAATAAGGCTCAACTACAATTTTGCTAGAAGAGGTGGTCCACCAAAACTCAGTGAACAGCAGGGTAGATAAAAAAAATCAATGATTTTTAAAATTTAAATCAGGTTTTTAAAACTTAAATTGATTTTTAAAAAATGAATTGCTTAGTTTGCTATTTAAGATACTTTATAGTCCAAAGTTTATTCATCATGAAATAAGGATTAGTTTTAATTATGTAACATGAAGCTGTATATTCATGCAATATTTAAATTTTTTAGTAAATGAATGCCATTAATCCATTCACAATGTGTAATCCATTCACAATGTGGATTTTAAATTCATTTTAAAAAACTCTTTAAAAACCTCTTCCAAAGGTTTCTGTAAGATTATTGGGCATTTTTTCTGTCTAGAATATATTATCATAGATGAATATATTATCATAGATGCTTGGTTTTACAGTTTTCTGAACTGTGAATTTGCATCTGCAGAAATCATGTGCCTCTTCTGCACAGCAAAAATGTTATAAAATAAACATACAAAATTCCATTGTTCCTTTGCAAATTTTTGTACAAAGAATCAAGCCCTGACCTCTTAAGTTCTAAATTTCTAAAAAATCAATGAGTAGAAGAAGATTGCTGCAAATGGAACAGAGCTGCAAAAGAAGTCTGGGAAGGGAGGGGCAAACAGTAAAAATGAAAATGAAACTTTTTGAGCAGAATACTCCACAAGTCCTTGGATCCTTTTATATATAGCCTGAGGTGTATCATAAATTCTTTCCCTGGAGGAGAAAACCTATAATAGCAGCTGGCTGTCAAAGAGACTGGGAATATGTTAATGAAGTTCCTCTACCTATGGGTAAGGCAGGCAAGTGTGCAAAACCATGATTTAAATCTAGTCTTACTAAGTAGTGATTTAAATTGATTTGATTTAAATCAAATCCACCCCTGGTTATCAGGTAAGGGCAACATTAATCAGAGAAAAAACCAAGAGGCAAATGGTAATACTGAAGAAACAGAATAGAGCTAGCACTTAAATGGAAGAAAATTGCAGGGAAAACCAGGAATGGATTTTTGTATGAAAGGACTATGGGCTCAGTTCTGGTACTGAAAGAAATTCCAGGGCTAAATTTCATTTAAATATGCTCTTTTAAAAAATTTAAGTGCATGCACATTCTTTTTTTCTAAGTCACTGGTTTGCCTTTGAGTCCAGCTGGTGAATCTCAGGATTCTAGGATAAATGAAGTAGATCCTATAAACAGAAGTCTGCCCACATGTCCTAATGAAAAGAAAAAAAAACAGGACATACACATACTTTATTCCCTTCCTGCTCTTCTCCATCTTCTTCAGAATCAGAAGCTGAGGCTGATCCCACTTTAGCAGCATTTTTCCTTTTTGTCTCAACTTCTTTTTTGCCATCTTTTTTATCTGGCTCTTTTCTTATTTTGTCTTCTTCCCTTTGACTCTCTTCATCCCTTTTCTGTTGTTTTTTTGGTGGCTTTTCTTCAGCAGCAGCCTTTCTCTTATTCTTGTCTTCCTCATGAACACTGTAAAAAAAGGCAGTGGATTATGCTTTCTTTTATCTTTTAGTCTTTGAGCTGACTAGAAGGTTTAAAACACTACCATGAAAATGTGTTCTTAAAAGTGAGCTTGAACATAGATGTTCCTATTTTTCTTTCTTTTGTGTCCTGCCTTTCTACCAAGAAAATGGCACTCAATGTGGAGAAAATAGAGCTTCTAGTTAGTTTCTGGAGGTACTGACTACATAAAATGATGCCTCAGCATATATGTGTGTCCTCCAAGGACTCAAAGGGATGCCGATTTCTGAAACTGCATGGGCTCCATACCACAATCCTTATGCTGATGCACAAACTATACATTTATTTTATTTAGAGATTTTTAAAACAAAAAATTTTAAGCAAAGCTATTGGGGATGAGCACCATACAACCAAGGTATTACAACTTCAATAAGAAAATATACCATACTTAAAATACTGCAGTAGAAGAGCATACAAAATCAGCACCAGATTTCAGCAAAGCAGATTACAGTCAAACAACCAATATTACACAGTTAAAAGACTAGCCAAACAGGAATGTTTTCACCTGATACTAGAATGACATTACAGTGATAGGGCATTCCACAGGGGGTGTGCCACTATCTTGAAAATCCTCTCTCCGGTCATAGCTACATAACTTCAAATAGTGGTGATATGAAATATTTATTTAAAACATTTGTATGCCACCCAATGGTGCCACAGCACCTCTGGGTGGCTCATAACCACAAGATAAAACACAATAAAACCAGTAACACATTAAAAACAACACTAAAATACAGCCAAAACAAAACAAAAAGGTCTCATGACAATTAGTTATTAAAATATTTTTTTAAAAAGGAAGGTCTTTGCCAGGCGAATCTCCTTGGGGAGAGCATTCTAAATATAGGGAGAAGCTGCAGAAAAGGCCCACCTCCTAGCAACCCTAAGATAGCCGGGGCCTAAGCCATTTAGAGGTTTATGTATCAACACAAGTACCTTGAATTGGGCCTGGGTCACAATCAATAACCAACAAAGATCTTTCAGTATATGTGTTATGTGGGCTACTTTAGGGCCCACATACAGAAATACCTTTACATACTGAAGCCCCAAGCCATTTAGGGCTTTATAGGTAAGCATCTGCACTTTGAATTGTGATTCGAAATGGATGAGTCAACACAGCTGCTTAAAATTATTTACACATAAGACTTAAAATAGTCTTATGTGTAATCCCAGCTCTTTTGAACTACAATTCAAGCTATTAGTCATCTGTCCAACAACATAAGGATTCTGCACCTGCACAGAACATTTAGAACCTTCTAGAATGAGGTGACAGAAATATTTTTGTTGAGATACCTGCTCTCAGTCCTCAAAACATATACTCAAAGGGGGTAGATGCCTCTCACCTTTCCTCTCAATTCCTTTTGAACTGCTGCTATGATTGAATCTGCTCAAGCAGCCTGCCCATAAGTAGAGACATTTGTGGTTTGCTGATAGTTTATATTACTTGGGATTCAAGGGGGATTTCTTAAACAGCAATCTCTAAGCTGCTAGCTGCTACTGATGTAGGGAAGAGTGTCAGATTTAGTATATAGGACTGAGGCAAACATCAACCAAAGGTAATAATATGCTTTCTTGGTTCTTCAAAGCAAAGGCAAAGGCAAATCAGGTCACTCAGATACATACTGACATATTCTATCTTATTTAAACACTTTAACATTTTGCATTCAGAACTCTGTAATGAATACCAGTGCTTTAAAACAAACTTACATGTCGCCCTCCTGAGGACAAGGTTGTTTTACCAATTTGGGTCTCCCTCTGGGTTTTGGAACCTTTACTTCAGTAGCTAATTTCATAAAGAAATATTTAGTTGGGTTAAATTATATACAACTATTTCAGTTTTAATGTAGTTGTCCATCAAGAGAAAAGCTAACAGGTAGAAATTAACATTGTTAACTGCATTAATATAGTTGTATATATTCCACAAACTTTATTTTAACTGAAAACTGAGTTCTCTTGGTCAAAATCATTCCCATAAAAAGACCATTAAGATTAGTCATTGGAACCCATAATGTGTTACACAAGAAAAACAGACTAATAATTTAGTATGGAAGACCTAAAGAACTTGCATATCTGTTTTCCTAACCAGATCCTGTCCTCATTGAACATGTTAATTCTTTTCTATACATTTACACACAGAAACAATGCAGTTTTGCCAGGAAAATTGTATAATTTTGCAACTCAAGACTTTGTAAAATTGCAGATTTATAACAATATAGCTCTGATTCACAGAATTTACTGTTAGATAGGTGTGTCTGTGCACACAGATGCCACAGTAGCTACATGTCTACTGAAAGTTTTCCATACACTTCTGCTTCTAGCAAGTATCCTTTACTTCCTGAATGAATCAGGACAATGTGGAGTCAGTTTGAAGAAGGGAAAAAAGGGGGGTGGATGCTACTGTGTTTTTTCTTGCTAGATCTAAGCTATAGCCATTACTTCTAGTACACTGATAATTTGCTTTTAGATGCCATTCTGTTTAATAACTCTATCACATTCCTTGGGAAGACTGTTTTAACATCCTGAATCGTTTAAAGTTATAGCACTTAGACGCTTAAGTCCAAGATGCAAAGAACAGATAAGCACAAATAGGATATTATGTTTAGCTAAAAAAATATTTATTCAATATTTGGGGCACTGGGATACCCCAAAGAGCAAGAAAAACCTCTTTGCACAAATGTCTTCTCTTTGCTTCCCACTCTTGTGCTGTACTCCTGTGTTCATTACACAGGTAATCTATTTTGCTAACATCAACAAACTTTCCAGTTAACTTAGGTGCTTCTGAGGTTTAACATTTCTGTGGAAAGGCCTACCATTTTAAAGTTTAGCATTGCTTGCTTTCATAAAACCAGGCAATTATCAAGAAATGTTACTCAGCACTAGAAATGCATCTGGTATCAAGGTGATACCACTGCAGAATAGCAGCACAGCTGCTCGTACCAATTATGTTAAGGAGTAAAGTACACTGCCCAGTGATGAATGCACATGAGAATTAATGTGTTATTTGATGCTTTAATTGTTGCATATGAAAATAACCTCTTCCCTTTTTACTTTCAAATGATTATATTTGTTTTAACAGGCCACAAAGATTGTCCATTGTGCAATTTCGAACTCCAACATTAAACAGATCAGGTGAGAAAACAAAGAGTTCCAATATAAGGTCTAATTTACATAATTGGAGTACTTAAAATACTTAAACTGAATCTGGCACTTGCATATGCAAGAAATATGAAACTTTTAAAGGCTAATAGGGGCTTTTCTACAAATCTATTTTCAGGGTTTTTGTATGTAATATTACACTAACAGAATGAACAGGCAAGGGTCAGCTCTACAACTTACCAGCTGGCCTTCCCCTTTTAGGGCTTGCTTTTGGAGCTGTAACTACCGCAGCTGTTGCTGTTGCCACCATTGCTGCTGTCTCTTCAGCTTCTGCTTGTTTTTCAGCCTGTATTAAAGGAATTCCTTCATATGGATTTTACAAAATTATACTATTGTTCAAAATGCTGGAAAGCCTAAGGTGGGCTGACAACTAGTTTATACATCTTCAAACAGAATTTTGGTGACTATTAACAAGCTGAGGATGGTGACATAATTAAGTTTATTCTGAACTGCCAGATCTAGATAACACAATGACACTCACAAATGCCTTGCACTCACCAATCACTAAAATTTATATGCAAAATATATGTACTGTAGCATTGTCTTTTGGAGTGCCAAAAGTGGCAAGTGCTGATTATAGGGAAAGGAGTAAGTGAAAACTGCTTCTCTCCCTTCATGAGGAGGAGTATCCACTGTGATGAAGTTCCTTTTATTCATTAAAGGACTCCTTCCACGATTGGAATCATGTCTTAGTATCTAATTCTCCATCTTCCATATCAGCCTTCTCTTAGGATTGTTATGGAGAAAGGGCAGATAAAACTATATAGGCTATTAATATTTCTATAAAGGGTCTTTTGTTTGTTTTCTTTTTAAAGATGGGTTTCACAGAGATTAAAAGCATATTCGGAAGATATGTAATTTTTACAATGTTAATTCCATTGGTATATATATGCAATGACAAGCTATGTTTTTACAACGGAATTGATAATCCAATGGGTTATCTAAGCCTTGGGTTTACTAGGCTATAAATCAAAACAGAATTACCTTTCTTTTTCTTCCTCTTCTAACAACCTTAGGAACAGCTGCATCATTTGGTTTTTCTATATCCTACATACAGAAATATTAGAAAATTTTGAACATTGTCCAAGTATTCAAATGGCCTAGCACAAGATTCTACATTAGCTTTATTACTGGCATCAAGATTTACTAAATTAAATGTAACTAAAATGTTCAGCAAATTAGATCATTACTCATAGACCTATTAGAAAAAGGCAAAACTACACGCCCATTGTCAGCCATCTCTACCTTGATCCTAAATTTCTGTCAGTATGGCCAAGTTTCAAAGAACTGTGGAACCATTCCCATGTACACAAAAAGCTTTTGACTTTTTTCCCTTTATGAGAAGCCCACATACTGCATGGCAAACTACTTCTGAAACTGAGGAGAATTTCAAAGGCACTTTAAGATATACTTTCCTCTCATTTCTAAGACCCCTACCCTTTTTGTGACACATTGTGTCACACTGGTGGTATGGAACCTGCATCCACTGTAATATTGCAAAGTTCTGGGTCAAATGGAAGAACCCATGCTGTGGAACCCATATAACTCCAGCTTTGCCTCTGTCAATTAACAAAACATAGCAGAATACTTTAATTGTAAAAAGCTTTAGGTGTAATTCTTGGTATCTTCAGTTGATGGATCAGCTGACAGATAATGGGAAGACCTTTGTCCAAGACCCCAGAAAGCAATTACTAGTTGAGAGTAGTAAACCCTTCTGCATTGACAGTCTTAAGAAGTTAAGAGAGAAGAAGGCAATCAATAACAATAAATTATTGATGAAGCATCTTTTTTTAAGCCTTGCACGCTGCACAAAGTATCTTAGAAACTCGGCCTGATGCACCTATCTCCTTAGAGTGAATATTTTGAAGAAAAAGCACTGAATTAAAACTCCCCCCCAAATATTTTTCTATGATTAATATAACAATGTCAACCACTTGGGTTGACAAAACTCTCCTCAGAGTGGTATGAAGTGTGCAGCCCTGCTCTAAATTGTCTAAATGGCCTCTCTGGAGACAAAGGGCAGTATCCAATAGTGTCACTCCATAAAATGAAATACACAGCTTGCAGGACTTCACCTATTCTTTGTTGCACAAGTGGTTTCCTGTTAAACTTGCCCAATTGGTTTCACAACCTGTTGCAATGAGCTAAAATAATTGTGGAAGGCTAATACATAACTGTACTTGCACTAACATAACTTTATTGGATTCTCCTTTTGCACATAGTTCAGAAACAGAAATTCTTTACTCACTGGTGAACTGAAGGAGGCCAGCTAACTCTGGGAAGGCTCTGCCTCTGAGGTGAGGAAGGCAGACTCAAGCTGAGCTTCTTGGAAGAGGCAGGGCTTTCCCAGAAGTCTCCAGCTGACACTTCCAATAAATCAGATCAGGCAGAAGGTCCAGTTCAGTGCTAACGCATTGCAAGCAGCCATGCAAAACACAGAGGCTGCAGAGGAAGGGGACAAAACCTGTAGGCCTGACCAATTGCCCTGAAGGAGGCTGGGCCTAGCTGGTACTTATAATCTTGGCAACAGTGTTGTCTGTCCTGACCAGGAGGTCATGATCCTCCATTAGGAAAGAAATGACAGAGAGCCAGGTGGATACCCTTCAACTCCAGCAGGTTGATCGACAGCTGAGATTCCTCCTTGGACCAGTGGCCATGAGTGTAATGAACACAGAAGACAGCCCCCTGCCAGTAAGGTAGACATCTCTCTTCAGAGGAATACCGTCTGGATATAGGGTGCGAATGCCCCCTGCAAGGTTGGCTGCTTGCATCCACTAGTATAGACAGTTATTACTCTTGGGAGCAGAATGGCTAGATTGTGGTTAAGCACAATCATGCCCACGAGCTTTGCCAGGTCCCTGAGTTTACCAACCCTCTCGAACAGATATGGGGAGTCATGTGACTCATTTCAACCTGTCTGGCTGGAGAAAGGGTCATTACATTCCTGAGGATAAAGCTGCAGAAGCAACTACGTCAGTCAAAGTGAGCTCTTCTTATTGACTAGAAGGACCCCAGGTTCAGCAGGGTTGTCAAGGTGATGCTGATGTCCTGAAGCAGTGGAGTGGATCAGGATGTTATCAAGGTAGGGATGAATCTAGAGCTCCTGTTCCGGAGCAGAGACACTGGAGCCAGCAGGACCATCATGAAGATTCAGGGAGCTGTGGCCAGACCTCTCTCCTGCCATAGCTGAACTGGAGAAAAATGCAACAGGCCAGGCAGACAAGAATGTGGAGATACACTTCTGTCAAGTCCACCAAGGCCAAAAACCTGAGACATTTCTTTACAGATCTAAGGATCTGTATTCTGAATTTTTGCATCAGGGTAGCAATTTACTTTTCAGATGTAGTTTAGGGTAATCCCACTGTCCCATTTTGGGAAAGGGAAGGAAACTCAGAAACCCCCCCCCCCATTTTTGAGACCTTCTCTGTTGCTGAAATCTGAAGCAGATGATGGATAGGAGAAACAGTTTTATGTATCTGGAGGGTTTCTGAAGTGATGAGTCTTCAATATTCTTATCCTTGGGAATCTTTCAGGGAATCTCTGTCCTGAATTGTCTGCAAAAGCCAGCATTCAGAAAACAGCTGCCTCCAGACACCTGAGAAGTTATGAAGCCTCCCTCTCTAACTGGATGAGGCAGAACATAATCCCAAAGAAGTTTTTTTTCCCCAGGTAGGAAAGGGTATGGGGGTGGGTCATAGCTTGGATCTGGGACTCTGCAGCCATTGTGTTGTGTCTCCATGGAGCAAATAGAGGGGAAGGTTGGACAAAAGGAGTGAAAAGAATTTAACTTTGCTCCTTCAAGGTGTTCAGTATTGTCTTCACTTTGTCCTTATACCAAGACCTTCTCCAATGTCTTGCCAGGCAGGAGCTTACTGGTAGAAGGAAAACTTGCTAGGTTGAATCTGGAGTCCACACCTCAGTTGTGTAGCCAAATGTTTCTTCTTATGACCACAATGGATTCTGCAGATCTAGCCCTGCACCTGAAAGATATCCAGGGCGGCATCTGGTAGGACTGCTGCTGCTGAAACCACCTCCCAAAAGAAGTCTGGGGTCTCTTTATTCAGTGATCTGTTCTGAAGGGGGATGTTGGCCTTCATGAAGATTGTTCATGCCATTCTGGTAGAAATTGTAGAGGCTCTCATGGAGATGGCTCCTGCCTCAAAGCATTTATGGGGGCATGGTTCTGCTTACTTGTTATGCTCTTCAGATGGGAGCTCATCACTCAGCAGGGACTTGGAGGTAAGAGATGTCATTCGATTGTCTACCTTGGAATGACCAGTTCCTGCATAGCATTGTCTTGAAGACAGTAAGGACAATGAAGGTATCAGTTGTGCTAAATGGAATAACACAGTTGGATACTGTCCAACTTCTACTGAGTTTTGTTCAATCCAGACCAACAGATTATATATACAATAAAGTACTAAACAAGAATTCAGATTTGGGGGTGGGATGCATTGCAAGGGTAAAGATGAGCATTGCCTGAACTAAGATGAATCACGCCTATTTTTCAAAATTCACATACTTCACCACTAGGTTTTTCAGAAGAATCCATGTCTTTTGCTGTTTCCACCTCTTTTTCTTCTATTTCAACTTCAGTGGTTATATTATCCTGTTTAACAGGTCCCTGGGGATGAGATATAAGTATTATGTATTTTCAGTTACATTATATAAGGTCTGTGCAGGCAGCTAATGATGGTAATCCTATAAATGTATGTTATTATTAACTTGCTTCTGATTGTTTTGAAATTGTAAATGAATGTAGTCAACTGTATAGTGTTTTAAACTTAAGATTTACTCATCAGACCAGAAATGAGACTGGTAAGTAGGAGCACTGCTAGGTACTTAAATGAATAAGAGCACAGGCCCATGACAAAATTTCCACGTGTCCTATGCAAATTCAGAATGACTAGAATGTATTTACATTTCATCAGTGTTAGCAAAATAAATGTGATTTAAGGACTGCATATGAGAATATGCAAAATGTTTTTCTCTCTCCACTCATAATTACACTCCCAATACACAAAGCATTACAATTAATCTTACATAGATCAAAGCTTCAACATTCCTTCTTTAGAGATTAAGCACTGGCCATGCCTGTTGTAAAACAACTACAACATGGTGACATATATTCTACTCTCCTTCACACAAGTCTTCCTTATGTTTCTGTCTTCCAGCAACTCTTCATAAAAATTGATATTTTGATTTTGGTTCTGTATTTCTCATTCACTTCCTTGATTTGTGCAAGCTCTCGTCCCAATCATTCCAATAATTTAAGGTGAGTCAAGATTGCACAAGCCAAGATGGTTTTCAATACTAGGGCTGAGTTAAAGAATTTCCAAGCATATACCAAGCTTATTTCCTTCACTACTAAAGCTAGAGTTCATGCAAAACCTCCCTACATACCACAAATATCAAAACATGCACAAGATTATGCTGAAAGGATGGAGTGGAGCCAATTCAGTGTAGTGGAATGGGATGAGTCATTTATTAAGGTTGAGGTACCATGCTTACAATTCAGGATTTGAGTAAACATGCAGAAGATCAGGCTACAAACCTTTCTGCAAAAACAACTTAGGCTAGAATCATGTATACTTTCCTGGCAGTAAACCACACTTAATATAATGGAATTTACTTAGGTATAGAAAAAAACAGGATATTATAAATTATCAGTATTTATCTCCTCTGCTCATCATTTTTTAAACCCCTGCTTTTCTAATAGACTGTATTCTGGTAAATGGCAACTGACACAAATCATATCTCTGTATATCTAAATACAACCCAGAATTGCTCTTACTATCCCCCTCTCCTCTTTAGAATTCTGCAAGATTCATTCTGAATAGAATAAGAAAAAGCCCACCCAGGATAAGGGAGGGAAGAGAAATAAGCTGAGTTATAAGGAAATGAGGGAAATATAATTACTCAAATCAAGTAGCTCCTTGCAGATGAGTAGCACTTTATTCTGATTTGGAGCGAGTGAAGGGTTACACATATCCTGATCATCTTTACAAGGTGAGGTGATTGAGGATTTTTCTTGCTTTAATTAGTAAAACTTATTTAAAGTCAGTAGGCAGTATCCAGTGGCAGCATTCCATACATTCAAATAGCACTTTCAGAGCTCTCCCAAATTTTTCAGTTGTGCAAGCACTTGCACACTGCACTTGCAAAGTGTGTACTAGTATAGCAATTGGCACAAACAGAAGTCTAGGTGGATTCTTGCATTGCATAAGAGTTTGAAACTTAGTTTCTATTAGCACAACATCATTTGTGCTAATAGAATGGCACCACCATATATAGTTCTCTGCCTGCTGGTAGTACCATGAACTTCGCACACAGCCTACCCAGCACTTCCTGGAGCATGGTGTCACATAATCCTCCTGGAGCTATATAGGACAAGTTAAAACAGAAGGAAGAAAACTGTGGAGGCTAATTAAATCCTTTGCTGTGCTGGAATCATTAGGCTTCTGGTAAATCAGATGCTGTATGTAGTATTATTTTACAAGGAACTCTTCCTGTCCTTCCTCCTCCCTTGTCATTGCAAACAGGCTCCCTTCAGTGATCATGCAAAAATAGAAATGCAAAGAAAGAAAGAAAGAAAGAAAAACACAATAACATTGCAAAAGAAAAGGTGGCAGCGCCACATATGATTTGAAAGCTTGCTGCTTTTATCTTATAAATAAGGGAATGTGTCCAAAGGTATCCTAGTCACCATGGTCAGGATTACTGAGGTCAAAGAGAAGAGGCAGGTTTATGTTAAGACCGATAATATAACTGTTTAAAAGATTCAGGGTACAATGCCCTGGGTACCCTTATGAGAACTGTTCATGCTAGAAAGGACCTAATCAGCAGCTCCTATGTAAAATTTAGGATTTATTCTGAAAAGTGCTCATTCAACTTTTTGGCAGTGTTGTCGTCAAAGAAGAGTTCTCCATTCTATTTATTTATTTATTTATTAAAACATTTTTATGCCGCCCCATTCGCCGAAGCCTCAGGGCGGCTCACATCATTAAGTTAAAATAATTATAATATAAATTAAAAATATAAATATTAAATTAAAATACAACAATACAGTATAAAATAAGCCGCCCTGGCCAGATAAAACCAATGATGTTAACAGTTAAAATGCCGCTTGAATAAAAAGGTCTTCGCCTGGCGCCGAAAAACAAATAACGACGGCGCCAGGCAGACCTCTCTGGGGAGCACGTTCCATAGATTGGGCGCCACCGCAGAGAAAGCCCTCCTCCGAGTACCCACCCTCCTAATTTCTTTCATGGAGGGTTCCCGGAGAAGGGCCTCCCCCGCCGATCTCAAGGGGCGGCTGGGCATATATGGATGCAAGCGCTCCTTCAGGTAACCAGGACCCAAGCCGTTTAGGGCTTTATAGGTCATCACCAACACCTTGAATTGGGCCCGGACTTCAATGGGAAGCCAGTGAAGCTGACGGAGAACTGGAGTCATGTGAACACAACGCCCAGTCCCCGTCAGCAGCCTGGCAGCTCTGTTTTGAACCAGTTGAAGTATCCAGACCGTCTTCAAGGGTAGCCCCACGTAGAGCGCGTTACAGAAGTCGAGACGGGAAGTCACCAATGCATGTGTCACTGTCGTGAGGCAGTCATACTCCAGATAGGGGCGCAGCTGGTGGATCAGCCGAAGCTGGAGGAAAGCGCTCCTCGCCACTGCTGTCACCTGAGCTTCTAGTGAAAGCTCCGGGTCGAGGAGCACTCCCAAGCTGCGAACCTTGTCCATGAAGAGAACTTGCCATTCTCTTTCTTGCGAGAAACCCAAGGTAACTTGAATAGTTCTCCTCCACTCAATTTTTATCCCCAGTCCTGTGAGGTATGTTACAGCTGAGTGTTCATGACTGACTGAAGTCACCCAGTGAGCTTCATGGCTGAGTGGGGACTAGAACCACTCCCAGGTTCCCAGTTCCACACCACACTGGTCACCATAAAATACATACATCTGTTTTCTCATACATAAAATAAGGTATATCATTATGCATTTCATCAATGCTGAAGCCAGCATCGTTAGTCTTAGACCCGGCATTGCAAGGGTCCTGCCATCCTGTGTCTTGTTAGGCAGATTCTTCAGTTCCATTTGGATTACAAACATCAATTTGATATACAAAAGCAGCTGGCTACTAGAAACTGCTAGGGCTTATCCTTATTCAATGGTCTTACTGCCCAGAAGGTTGCTCTCCATGCAACCCTTCCTATGTGCGGTTTCAATTTATAGGATTGATTAGACACTTATCTACTACTGTGAGAATAGAGTATTTTTTTCCCTAAATTGTTTCATAACTGTTTTCACTGCAAGAAGGAACAAAGAAGGAACATTTATTCAGAAGATAATTACAATGAGGTGCTATGCTCTGTAAGCACTTGTAGCTAATTGTATCAACTTCTATTGTGTAAAATTGTACCTATGTTTGCCACAGCTCCTTAAGGGTGGAGCTGTTTTCTGTATCACAAGGACTGAACACTCTGCAGTTCCCTGATCAGAGAGGAGGACACCAGTCTTTTCTGAACTGCTGATAATGATCCCAAGGTGAAATCACTGATCATGTCTGGGAACCCGATTTCCACTGAATTTCTGCTTTACTCCTGTAAGGTTGTTTTCTGACTGCAACAAATGGATTTAAGGTCCAGAACTGCACATAATTACATACACTTGTTTTTATAATTTACCTTGAAAGAATCACAACCTCCTGTCCTTCAGTATGTCTCACAAAGCAATAAATCTATTCAACAGACTACCAGACTTCACCAAATGCTTGCTTGCTTGCTTGCTTATTTATTTATTTATTTATAGGTCACCTTGTAGTCTGAAAAGCATACCCAAGATGACATATAAATTTAAACATAAAAATATCCAAAATGAAAAATATGAGAGAAAAAACACCAGAGAGTAGGCAAACCATCTAATTGCTTAACTCACAAAGCTGTCAGCAGTCCACAACAACAAAAAAGCAACTCATCTACATTCTACACTTAAGTTGTACAAATGGTAATTCAGCAATTTGCCTGTGGCAACTATTTCCCTATTCCAGTTAATAGTCCTTTGCATGGCTCCGGGCTCCTTCCTTCCAGGAAAGGGCAACGTTTTTTTAGAAAGGGAAATAATTTGAATAGCTTTTCCCACGCAAGATGATATACTGAAATCACATAAGAAGCCTCCCATGTAGGCCCAGGTGAATTAATCCGAATAGAATATAAATCAATATGAATACAGCACCAGCTGGCAAAGCATCCAGATTAGGTGAAACAACTGTCACACTGCCAAAGTCTAAAAATTCAAAGAAAGCAGTTGGCTTTTTTAGTTAAGTTGCCACCATGGTTTATCTGACCAGGAAGAATCTAAATATCCTCCTACTTGTCTCTCTCCTCATGGTCTTTGATTTGGTGAAGATAACTTTTTAAAAAAATTACTATTTACCATGATGTCCAAAATAGGAAGTTGTACTTTAGGGATCCTTCCAAAGGAGGATTCATAACCACAGACTGCTCAGCTCATTGAAAAATTCAGAGCAGCTATTCCAAGTGTTTTTCTACTGTGTTGCCATGTTTATCAGCCATTACACAGGTCAGCTTTCTTTGAGAAATAGCAATTATACAAGTAGAAGGAACACATGATACGCAATAGCAGCACATATGTGCATCAAAAAAGGACACTTATTTCCTTTCCATACGGAACATAATTAAAAATGAAGTCTAGCAGGTGGGAAAGACACTCAAACCTATTTTTTGTTTTATTTCGTTAAGCTGCCTCTTTAAAGCTATTTTAATCTTGGAGCTACAAAATAAGAATACTCCTTTATTTATTTATTTACTTACTCACAACATTTATATATGGCTATACATTTATAGATTCAGGACTGGTGAACAATGAAACAGCTAAAACATTCAAGCAATATGTTAAAAGGGTATCAGTAAAACAGCCAACTAGGTGTTTCATGGTAATTTTTAGCACCTGTCTCCTAATGGTGTTGCACTTTATACCCTAACTTTTCCCTTATTTGAAAGGAAATTGAAAGTATTTCTTGAATCCCTTGAATTGTTTAATCAGTGAGAACAGAGAATTTAACAGCAAAGCCCTATGTTGTGTGTGCCCTTGACACACATAAGCCTCCAACACAACATTTCTGCTACCCCACATTTCAATGATAGGAGGCCATAACTTTGCACACTAAGTGACTTAAGGCACAATCCCATGCATTTTTACTCAGCAAAACCCTACAACTCTGAGCACTCCTCCAGCCAGCATGGTTAGTTAGGAAATGCTTGAAGTTGTAAGTAATTTTTTCTATCTAAACCTGCACTGTTCCCTCAATTTTTGTTTTTTAAAAAAATGATTACATTTTCATTGAATGCCTATTCATATTAAATGAATATGAATTCTTGAGCAAGGCAGTTATACTTACTGAGCACCAAAAGGAACTGGGGGACTAAGATTTGTTATCGTCAACTGATCATAATGCATTTAAATCCTTTTCATTCAGACTTGCTTTGCAAATTAATTTCCAGGAGAGCCAATACTATTTTTTTCCTTTCTAAAAGCATTTAATTCCCCCAAATTGCTCCTATATGATCTATGTAGATGTGAACTACTTAAAGAATTGTAGTTTGTAATCTGCTTTTTAAACAAGAATAAAGTGTACATATTAAAAGCCTTACCAAACAAAAAAACATGTTATGTCATCTTATTTTTAATTCTTAAGCATCTAAATATACCACTGCTTGAAATTAGCCCCATCTATTAATCATCAAAGCTTTAATACATTTATAACATATACATTTTAGCCCTATTGTTATAGTACTATTAACAATCTAAGTTTTAGTACAAACATGACCTAGAAAGCAGTACTTTTGAATTGCTGAGTTATTAACCACTTACTTTAAGAGCAGTAGCCTTCCTCCGTTTGGGACCCATTTTTTGTTCATTTTCGTCTGAAGCATCTAGGTTACTTTCTTGAGTTGTTTCTTTAATAACTGCAGTGTTAACAGCTGGTTGGGACTGTGGACAAATATACTGCCATCACAAAAGTAAATCAGCAGCGAATATAGACATGAGAGCATCAAGTATCAAAACAAGTGATTTTTTAAATACAATTTGAAATCTAAACATTTTTACTGCAGTCTCACATCATATCAGATTTCAAGGTAGAAAAGAACATAAAAGCAAGCACAAAACAGAGAACTGATTCATGCTGAATCCTATGTATGTTTACGCAAGAATGTTCACCTGGGTTCAATGAGGTGTACCCATTAGTAAACGTGCTTAGAACTGAATCCTAAAACTAAAGCAATACGATTACTAAATTCCTATTTTCAGGCTGGCAGAAGCAACATTGAACAGTACTAAACGTATACTTAAATACATTTACTGTCAGTACTAGGAAATTAGTGATTTATACATTATCCTCTTAATGATATATAGAATCAAGTTTTCCCATACCTGTCTTGCAATGAATATTGACTTCTGAAAGTAGGATACAGACTACTTTCTCCTGGCTGGAAAATGCCTATACCACTCACCTTTTGCCATTCACCTTTCTACCTCTACCTGACAAGGAGAAGTTCTCATGCTGCCAGCTACCCACCCAACATTCAGTGAAAGTTTATTCAATTTACTCTAGCAAGGGTTGCCCTTCCCAAAGGGATCTAGTCTATCATCTCAAGGACTTGAGAAGTCATAAGGAAAGGACAATCTACCCATTTGTTCAAGGGTGAGCTAGTATTGCCAAAAGGGAAGGACAGATATGGGGAAACAACTTCAAAAGTATGTCACAGAAGATAACATGAGACTGCTAGAAAACCTTCCAAGCCACTCCCACTTCTGGCAGATTGAGGTTTGAAGAGAGTCTGTTCTTTTCTTGTGGAGGACAATACTCACAGACATTTGTAGAAGTTACACTAAAGCTGACTCTTGGTCACACATTGGATGGCAACCCCAGTCCTCCCCAGCAGACATTCATTCAAATATAGTAGAAGTTTTTTGAGAGCTATAGCTTCTGTCTATTTGTTATACTTCCATCCTGCCATTTTTCCTTTTAAGGAACTCAAGGCAGATGAGGTAGGTTGGGTTAAGAGTCCATGATGGCCCAAAGTCACTCAGTTAGCTCCCTGGCTGAGTGAGAAGTAGAACCCAGATCCCCTGAGTCCCAGTCGCACACTCTTGAACAACTATACCACACTGTCTCCAGCAAGCTTCTTAACCATATCAGTACAGTAAGCCAGATACTCGGAAGCACCATGGACAGCCAGGAACATCAGCAGACATTTCTGACTAAATTATTATTGTTTCCACATTAGAGGGTAACTTACCTGTTGACTAGAAAATTTAACTTTGGGATTGTTCTCGATTTCCCACAGTCCTTCATTAAAGCCTTTTCTTTTATTTGGTTTGCCATATTTGTCTTTATTTTCAGCATAGGGAAATATATCTTTTGGTCCCAGAAATGCTCTGCAAAGTAAGTGAAACATGTAAATATTCCATGCATAATCTGCAGTTTACACATTCTGTTAATATATTAGGAACACATTTAATGGCAAAACCACTGATTTATTACTCAAAACTATTCTTTTAGAGTGGACTTGGATCCAATCTTAGCATAACTGATTTTCCTCTTTCCCCACAATATTAGTATAACTGATACTCCTCTCTCCCCACTGTGTATACATTCCAAATTTTCTCCCCTCTACCCCTCCAGATCTGGGGTATGCATGAGGGGAGAGGGCTGTAGGGAGAAGGAGAAATCCATTTCAATAGTTATTTTCATTCTGCTAGTAAATGACCAGCACTAGATCCAACCCAAGGTCTTTAAATGCTAGGATTTCAAAAAAAGCTTTACACAAATTCTTAAGCAAGTACTTTTAATAAAACATAGCAGTTACAGGAAAGTGGAGTACTCAGAACATAACTAAAATTTCTGATGTGTACACACTGGACAACTAAATGGTATAAGAACATCAGCTATTTAATTTTGGAATTGCAATAACAAATTTACAGGAAAAATGCATTCATAAAACATTAAACCACTTGTCTATTAAAGTCCAACCTAAACCTTTAGCAGTATTTTGCAAGTTCAGTAATGCTGTTGTAGTGAAAAGTCTAATTCAGTGTTGGAATTATTAGGAAAAAGACTAAAAAGGGTCAATAAGCATCACACTCCCACTTGGCAGTCATATTGAAATATGCCATATATATCTAATCATTCCATGTCAAAAAGAATATTGTAATTTTAGGCAACCCACAAAGTAACTAAAAGAGAAAAAGAATCATATTATTGCAAAAATGGCTGTATCACTGGATCACAAACCTTTATTTTTGGCCTTAGCATGGATCTCCATTCCTATTTTTGATAAAGTAAAACTCTGCTGGACTTACAGGAGGCCTAAACCAGCAAGAATTAAGAAACCTTTCCTATATTAACTTAATGCTAGACCAGGGGTGCATAGCCTCTTGGCCTTTGTGACTTTATTTCTGCCATACAAACCCCTCCCATGGGGTGTGAAGAAAAAAGGGAGTAGAAGCCTAAACTATCTCCAATCACTGACAATGGAGATTCTCCCATGCTGTTGCTTTGCAGTGCAAGGTGATGCTTCTCTGACTAGGAAAGCCCACATACAGCCAAGCTGGAATTTGTCAGAGAAGTGAAAAGGATACTGCTGACTTATTCTGCATGTAGGGCTACCCTGTTAAGAAAACCCCATGTCCAGCAAAGCCTAGGCTCTGGCTTAAACCAAGCAGAGAAGGAATGACAACAGATGGGCACAGCTACACTCACAGACACCAGGGTGTGGCAATGCCCACTTGACATCATAGGGCCTGCAGAGACCTGGCTGGGAGTCTCCACTCCTTCTTGGTTCTGCATCCTGGGATAAATGGACACTGTATCTAAGATCGAAGCAAGGATGGCAGACATACGGACTTCTGATATTGGGGGATTGCAATTCTCTTCAGCCCTTGGCAGCATATCCAATAGTGAATGAAGATGGGATCAGCTGGAGGGCTGCATGCTCTATATTCCTGTTCTAAGAAATGCAAGGGCTACTATAGGTATGAGAGATGAAAAATCAGAAAGACCCTAAGTAGAGTCATGTTGGATCAGCCCAAGGATCCATCTAGTTTAGCATCCAGTTCACAATGGGCAACCAGCTGCCTGTGGAAAAATCACAAGCAGGGCATGTGCAATAGCACCCTCCTGCTCATATTCCTCAGCAGTTTTTGTACACAGGCATACATACAGTCCCTGATACTGGAGGCAGCATATAGCCATCAGGGCTATCAGTCATTGATACACCTTATACTACATCAATTTGTTCAATTCCCTTTTAAAGCCACCCAAAGTAATGGCCCTCAATACATCTTGTAGGGTGAATTTAATAGAAGCTCCCTTTACCTGTTTTAAATCTCCCATCAATCAGTTTCATGATGAACCTGAGTTGTAACTATATGAGAAAAATGTCTTCCCTTCTGCTTTCTCCATATCTGGGTGTATTCCTCTTTCTCAAAGTATGCATTACTACTTACTTTCCAGTCTATCTCCCTGAAGCTTCATGGTTTATTTTTTCCACTTCCCACTTATCCCCATTCCTGCTCTGTTGTTCCTGTATACAGAATGTCAGAGTTGAGCTGGTCAAGTATTCAAAGCAGCAAAGAGATGTAACCTGCTTGCTAATCCTACACTTTCCTATTCAACCTGTAGAATCAGCCCTTTTACTCTTGCATACCTCGATGGACACTACAATTAACCAACACTGTAGCTATTCAGGGGAAACAATGGGTTCTTTGCTTCCTATAAGTTTCAGCTTAGTTGAGTGACTGGCCCTAGAGTTCAGGGAATGCTTCTGATGCCCAAAATTGCAGCAAAGCCCTCACTCCTCTTCTCATCAAGACCTCTCCCCTCACTTGTGTTGGGCAGCAGCTTTAATCAGCAGCAGCTTTTGCTCAGTTTGTAGCAAGGCTTCACTACCACAAGTACAATATAATAAAGGATAACAAACTGGGATCTGCACCTAGGAAACAAGGCCCCTTGAGATTAAAGTGAGTTTAACAACACTATGTAAAAATATTATTTTGTTAACATGTTTGTACATATGCTCTAAAACAAAAACTAGCAAAAACTGCCTCTACTCTCTGCAGTTCTATACCCAAGAAGTTACATCCAAACCAGTACAGCTTTGTGAATACACGACTTACGTTTCATGAGTGCCAAAAAAGAATATAGGCATTTTATTTGTAGGTGGCTTGACAGCTCCATCAGGAACTTCATCCACCTAGAGGGGAAAAAAACTCTTCTCAGTCAAACACTTCAAGAGGTTTAATGATAAAGAATTGCAAAAAGGAAAAGTAGCAGTTATCCAACTCTTCAATATGTTATTGTATTCTGCATAAATTGAGTCTTTCCAAAGATATAAGTGGTCTGGGTACAAGTTCTGTCTAGACAGATTCTAATGTTTTATTGAAAATGATGTGTCCATCCTAAACATATAATACATGACTCTATCTGGCACAATAAAAAAAATCATAGTTAGAACGTCACTGTACAAAACAAACAAACAAAACCAAGATCCATAGCACACATGTTCACATATCTTAATTATTCCTTTCAAATGTTCAGAAGGTACATAGGGAACAAGTAATTTCTAAAATCCGTATTACCTGCCTCTACTGAAACTATTGCAACTGAAGAAGTTGCAGACTCCACATGACCTAATATATCAGAAACACAGAATCCAAATATCCAAGGCACGGATCTTCATTATTTTATAACTGCGTATGTGACATGTGTGTGATACCTACATACACTGTTCACACATGCAGATTCTACAAATCATCCTTCTGAACAAATGCTCAAATTGGTGCTCTGTTCCAAAAATCATGGCCCTAGTATATCCTGGTAGTGCAACGGAACAAAAATAAAAGTTCTAACGCATGCAAAATCCATAATATGCATCTTTTAGTATCATCTCCATTTTTACAAACAGGTTCCTTAGGTCTACTGCACATCTATACATCACAACTACCTGTATTTGTCATAAATCCTTAATGCTACATTAGCTAAAAAGATGAAATATGTTCCCTGCTAGTGACTGTATGGATTGGGCCACAGTAATTAAAAGGAAAGCTGTTGCTCTTACACATGTGTGCACACAAAGTACCCTACTAAGATGTTTGACATAACTCACATTTCTTTGCTTTTATTTCTGTGCATAGAATGTATTTGTCCAAAATATGTTAGCAATACAATATACCCTAAAACAGTTATGGCAAGAATATAAGTCCATGACATGTGTGTCTGCTCATTTTCATACGTTTTAAAATGTAACAACAGACTATTGAAAGTAATGGAAGGTTAAAAAGAATTGAATAGTCCTGGAATTATTTGCTAAGTTTGGGTTAAGACAATGAATTTCTTGTTTACTTAAGTGCACAACCCTTTGCATGTTTAGACAGAAAGAACTCCTACCATGTAGGCTAGGAAATGCTATTGTAGCCCTTTTCTCTCTCAGAATACGCATAGGACTATGTTTTAAATTAATGTATAAGCAATTAGCTGGATTTGTCATAAATGATTGTTTCTTGAGAAAAAAGCTGAAATATCTTCTAGGTTAGTCACTGTATGAGCAGCAGCATCCTAATTAAAATATAGAAATTCACTTTCAGATTTGGTATGAGATGGAAAATCCAAATAACTACCCATTCCTTGCAGTATCTAACAACATAAAGAACCGAAAATGTAACCTTTGGCTAAGGGCATGAAATATCTGCCTCTGGGGCAGCTGCTTCATTTTCCCTACATCAACCTTTTATATAGAATTAGGGTGCAGCAAACATATTATTCATATACTTGGTGCCAGTGGGACTTGGGAGATCCAGGTTCTAGTCCCCACTTACTCATGAAGCTCATTTGAGTGACTTTGAGCCAGTAGCTAACTCTCAGCCTAGCCTACCTCACATGGATTTTGTGAGGATAAAGCAGAGAGGAGGTGGATCATGTAAGCCACCCTGGGCTTCTTGTAAAGGGAAAAAAGGCAGGTTGTAAATGTAATGACAGATCATTTGCTGTGTTTGCTGGGATTAACAACATAGGGCAACTTCTTTAAAAGCAAATATATCTGATAGTTTGACTATGACAGATAACAGATCCACAGTATTTTTGTCTTATATTGCAATTCTATACAAATTTGTCTAGGAATAAATCCCACTGTTCAAAGAAAGGCTTGCTAACAAATAAACATGCACAGGATTGCAGATTAACATGACAGACCCACTGAGCTATCCAGTTCATGTTTCTATTCTAACAAGAAACATATAGAAAGTGCACAAACCAGACATGAGTACAATTAGGAATTTCCCATGCCTATTAACGAGAAAAATTGCCTGCTGGTACTATTTTTATTGACTGCTGGTAGAAGACATCAGTTTGACTTCTCTAAGTGTCAGAAAATGCTATCGCTACGATCAGTTCTGGCACTGCCCTTCAGAAAGGATCATCCAGTTAATTTTGGCATAACACTGGCACTAGGCAGATCATAAAAAACCAGTGTGGTATTACTGAAGTGACAACTTTGTTTCAGGTATCCAGCACCATGTTTCCAGTTAAAAAACAAAATGGAAGGAAGAAAATGACTTGACACAAAGTTTCAAGATGACATATCACAAAATATAATTGCAGGGAGGTTCCAACAGGAAACTTTTGTTATAAATGGTTACTCTGGTTATTTTACATAAAGTTTTAATTGACTTATCACAGATGGTGTTTTTTGCATGTCAATTCACCTTATTGTTTAATGTCTCTGTGTGTAACACACATAAGCACACCTGCACAATAAAGATTGCACTTTTATGTATCCCATTCATCAGTACATGAAAACTTATTGTATACATGAAAGCTTATTGCAAAATGTGTTATTCTGCACAGCTGCCCCAATGGAAAAATAGATTTCAGAGTTCTCTATCTAAAATGAAACAATCCTGAAAGTTTTATTATATAGACCTAACATCTCACTCACAGCACCCAATTCTAACAGATAAACAGTAAGTATTGTTTTTGAATACTTTCTTTGCATGGACTCTACATGAGCCATCCAGGAACATCTACAGTCCAGATATGGGCTATGATGCCCTAAGTGCAGAACCAAGTTACTGTGTGGTGGTTTGAGATGGAAACAGATCTGGTAAAAATCATGTGAATTCATGAATACCTGGCAAAGATTTGCTTTGTTTACAAACTGCCGCTCCATTCTATATTTCAGCCATGATTGTCAGGAGGGCAAATGTTATGTGTAGTTAGGTGCATTGGGATACAAAAACCCAGAGATCCATGCAGAACTACAGATCTTGTATATCTAGATTCAGAATGGTCTGAATTTATGTCTGAAGGAAAATATGTGATAATTTCACATGCCAACACTAACTGTGCACAGCTTCCATTATCATTTTGCATATAGATCCTGCTTTTGCAAAATTATGAGAATTATCTATGCTCTGATCTTGTTCTGTATGTTTTATACAGCAGGAACTGTGATTTTTCTATATCATGCATAGTAGCTACATATAATTATGGTTTCTGTATGGCACTGGAGAAAAAAATCATCAGCATTTATACAGTTACTTTACTTTCTGAGAGTAGGAATCAAAATCATTTTTATCATCATAAGTTTACCTTGCTTTGTATCCAATGGGTTGCATCCAATCTTATTCTAGCTTAAGTCCCATTCATTTCAATGGGTTTACTAAATATAGAAAGAACATTGATGCACCTTCCCCCCCCCAATGCTTAGCACTCAATAAAATTTTAAAACAAAGTTATATACAGTACAACACTTTCAATATTCTAAAAAACAAACAAACCCAAAACTAACCAAATTGGCCTTCATAAAATCATCTAAAGCTATTTGGCATGCAGGTTTACTATCACCTATCCATTTAACTTGGACAAATTAAGCTTTTTAACACTAACAATAGATAAAAAAATAAAGACAGCTGCTCATATGTTGCAAAGTGACAACAGTAGAAACCATAAAAACAGAAAGGGCGGAAAAAACAGCATGTGGGCATCTGCAATGTGATTTGGAAGTCACTTCCATATCAACACAAACACGCCCCCCTCCACAAGGGCAGCTTAGGCCAGCGAGATAATGAACTGGAGCCAACCTGACCCAATGGAGGGAACCCCCCAAAAAACAGAAAACCCGAGAAGGGGATGCGCACTAAATGTTTGGTTTCTGGGGAAAGAGGAGAGGGGGCTTCGGTGCGTAGCAGTGGAAAGGCGGAAGCAGCGGGGCAGGTAAAGGGAGGAGGTAGCGCCTTACCCGGGCCGGCCAATGGGGATAGCCTTTCATCTTGGCGAAGATGAGGTCCCCGGGTTTGAAATCGCGGCTCATGTTGCTGCTCTGGTTGCGGAGAACTGGTGGAAGCTAAGCCCGAGCGCGTTCTCACGACCCGCTGCTTGGAGGGGGGGCGGGAGGAGGAAGGGGAGAGGAGATCAGGGGGCAGCGTCTGAGGTAACCGCACAAACATATTCACGATTCCCGATCCTCCGCACCCCTCCCGCGGGAAGCCCGCTGCACAAGCCCTCCAGCCCGCCCCTCCATCCGGAGCACCAGGCCAACACAGCTGCCTCCCGCCAACCCTTCATCGTTCTCGTTTTGGCGGGAAGAAACTCTCCCATCGTTCGCCGCCGCCACGAAGGGAGAGAAAGCCTGTCCTCCGCAGCTGGAAGCCTCCCACCCCGAGCCCCGCTTACCTGCCCCGCGCACGCGCGCGAGCCCCCCCTCCACGCCACAACTGCCCGTTGCTCGTCCTCCGCCTCCACCCCTCCCTCCTTTCTCGCCCGTAATAGCAAAACAGCGGCCGCTGCAGGCTACCCGCGGTTGCCTCGATATCTCCCTCGCTCGCTCGCGCGCGCGCACGCCCGTCCGCCCGCTCGCCCCTTCCTCGCGCCAGCTACCTAAAGCTCGCTCGCCGCTGGCACGGCGTGCTCCAAATGACTCCCAGAAACGGGGGTGCGTCAGGAAGGAAAGGAAGCGTTTGCCGACGACGCAAAAAGCTCCCCAGTGTCACCCCTCGCCGCCGGCTCCTGTTAGCATCGCAGCTGCAAGATGAACGCCCATTGACTCGAGACTAGCGCGCAACGACGCCGGACCAGACCACTGGTTTGGCACGAAACCTCCTCCTTCATGGTTCAATGGTTCGCTCCGCCTCCTCCTGTTGCAGAGCTCTCGCAGGCCGCGAGGCAAACAAGAGTGAATTCGTAGTAAGGCAAAAAGGGGAGGGAGGAGAGGGGGGCGTTGCCTTCAACTTCGAGCGGTTCTGAGGACGCTATAGGAGCGTTTCGCTGCCACTTCCAGTGTATCTTGCATCGACTGGCCGTTTATGGCGTGTACGCACTTTCCCCAGTGGGGAAACAAAAGCAAACATACGACGTTCAAGCTCATTTGGCGTGAAGCCGCGCAAAAGGAACTCAGCGAAATGTAACCGTGTGGGTCGATCTTATGCACCCCTTGCTGTGTTCAGAGGAACTTGTCTCAGATGAAGGGGGCCTAGGATCACAGCTTTGATGAGCAACTCTCGTCTCTGCTGCATAACTTAGTTGTTTTTCCCTCTGACATTGCATACAACTCCCGAAGCAAGGTAGCAAAAAACACAAGTCTTTGGCCTAAAGAGCTTCTCTCAGGCTGAACACAGATATAATTTGAATTAGAAAATCCGTAAGGGCAGTGGGTTATCATCTTGGTTTAGGTCATTTTGGCTGGCTTTATTCCATAGGCTGGAGTGTCGAATGGCATAGCGTGAGCATCCAGAAATACAGATTCTTAGAATGCAAGAAAAGGACGTTCAAAGAAATGACCGGCTTCCTTCTTTAAAAGGCAAAATGTTGACAGATTTCTCATGCTGGCCACATTTTCTGAAATCGTTCTACATAACTATGAAGAAGAGCAGAATCTTCCTTTTTACATTAGGCAATTCTATTTAAACCTGGTTGGTGCTAAAAATTCCCCAGAGAGGTCCGCCTGGCGCCGTCGTCATTTGTTTTTAGGTGCCAGGCGAAGACATTTTTATTCAAATGTGATTTTAATTGCTAATAGTATGTATTCATTTTATTCTTTGGCCAGGGTGACTTAATTTATACTGTTAATTTATATTATTCTATGGAAGTTTATTTATGGATGTGAGCCGCCCCGAGGCTTCAGCAAATGGGGCGGCATAGAAGTCTCCTAAATAAACAAACAAACAAACAAACAAACAAAAATTCCGTCCTCATGTATATGCTGAGCTAGCAGTGAAAGTCCAAAAAGGGGATGTTGGGACTGTAATTGTAAGCTTGATGAAAATATAACTCCATTGTGAGGCAGTTGTGACCTATGTCTGGTATAGTTAGAAAGGAATTGGAGGGAAAAAACTCAGCCAATAACTTACTTATACTAATCTATGATGGAAAAAATACTTCAAGTACTATGTACAACTCTGGTAGCTGAACCTAAAATACAATATTTTAGCATTTGTAAAAAAGGGCAGAGAAGTGAAACTGAAATAATCAAGGGACTGGAGCAACTCCCCATGAGAAAAGGTTGCAATAGTTGGGATTATTTAATTTAGAAACAGCACAGTAAGGGGAGAGAGGATGGGGTGTAAAAAATTATGCATGTTATTGAATGGCAAATTGGGAGCCATTTCGTGAGAGAGTCAGGACAGATAAAAGGAAGTAGTTGTTCACATAACATGTAGTTAAAACAGTGGAATTTACTTCCACGGGATGTATTGATGGCCACCAACATGGATGGGTTTTAAGGGGGATTGGACAAACTCATGGAAGATAAGGCTATCACTGGCTGCCAGTCCTGATGGCTTTATGCTACCTCCAGTAGCAGAGGCAGTATAACATGTACACCAGTTGTGAACGTGGAAGGGAGAATGCTGTTTCATTTTTGTCAGTTTCCTGCAGGCAGCTGGTTGGCCACTGTGTGAACAGAATGCTGGACCAGATGGGCCTTTGATCTGAACCAGTACAGGTCTTAAGTTTTTATGGTTACCAACCTACTGATGTAGATAGTTATTGTGCTTTTGTTTCAGTTTGAGTATGGTTGTGAATTCAAATTGCACATTATTGTATGCCAAAGGACAGAAAGAATCTTACATTTTTTTTCTTACTGACAGATTCACAGAGGATAGATTTTTCAGTGAGGATTACTGAAGGAAGTAACTCAGTGATTGAGAAACAGAGAGGCATACAACCAAGCCATGAAGCCTGTCTGAAGGAATGTGGAGGGGAGAAAAAGATAACTGGCTTGAAAGAAAATTTGCTACTTCCTATCTCATCCTCCCAATGGTTTTATGAGATAGGGGGTTGTAGGGCAAGGTGAAATTAGAGAGGAGTGAACTTGTAGTTTTAAGCATGCAGGCATAATAGGTTGATGAATATTAACTCACACACCTTGAATACACAATGGACTAATTATAATGCACATGTGATATATGTAGTGGGATGAGATAGGAGATATGAAGTAGGCGGACTGAAAGAGTGTAACCCCTTAATTCCTTACCCAGTGAGGGAAAAGGGGAGGACTGTGGTAGATGGATTGAGAGGTAAAAACAGTTGCTTTTGTGTGTTTGTACTTTGGAGAGATTCTGATAGAGCTGGCTCTCCCTGTCTATTGCAATAAACGAAGGAATTGCCTCACTCTGTTGGCAGTCTTGGTTATTTAACTTGAGAAGTATTATCACAGCTTTTTGCATAACATTACCATGATAACTAGAATTGAGCTTTCATGTACAGAAACATTATCTGCTCCTGGAACAGGATATGATGCAGCAGTTTTGTGTCCAGATGCTTGTGAACTTTAAGAGGCTTCTGCTTGGGGCCTGATGGAAACAATGTGAGATTTACTGGACCTAGGACTAATCCTTACATTCTTATGTATAATTCAAAGCACTGCTCAGGAGCTCACTGGGTGCCTTTAGATTCATTGTTTTCTCTCAGTTCAACTTACTTCGTGGGCTTGTTGAGAGAAGCCAAAATGCTGCTCTACCTTGGAGGGATGAGGAGATATAAAAGTAATACATAAATCCACCTGACTACCTTCCTGCTTGAAATTTGAAGTAACAGGCTCAAGCCTAGTTACTAAGCATGTGGTAAGGGCTTAACATTCCTGCATGGCACCTCTGTCCTTATCTGAAATTGGTCCTGTACAGTTGCCATTGTGAGCTGTATGGGCGGTATCCTTTATTGCATATTCACAAACAGCATCCACAGGTTGCTGTGCCACAGGTTGTAAAACAAGCAGAAATGAGTGAAAACACTTGTTTCTGGCAGTGCATGGCAACAGAAGGATGCTTTGGTCACCTGTCCTGAGAGAGGCTGGAATTTTTAAAAATTTAATAGCTGTTCATGTGAAACCACCTGTAGTATGAACTGTCCTCAAAATCCCCAAATGATACAGGTATGTAGCCCAATAGTTTTTAAAGATGGGATAAAAATATAATGAATAAAAATAACCACATTCTAGAAAGAAAAGTAATTCTGCCAGGTCTTGAACCTACTTGGAAACTTAGTTTTCTAAACTATCAGCACAAAAACAGTTTGTAGTTGATACAAAACTACTGTGTTCTGTATGTATTTAAAAGTTCTTTCTGATTACTTCACTTGTCCCTGAACTGACCCTGGCATCTTAAAGAGCCTTTAGGGCTAAGGCCTGCCTCAAATCATTTACTGTTTACAGTCCTTTGTGCTCTTCTGAAGCTTTTTAGGGAAAAAAAGATAACAATCCTTACTGATATCTTTGGAAGAGCAATCTGAAAACAGAAAAGATAAACTTAGCCTGGAATAATAAAGCAAATTGTCCTTCTCCCAAGCAAATTCAAATGTAAATTAAAAAGAACAAGCATAATGGTATCTACTTTGCTGTTTTACAGTTTGGCTGATGTTCTTGCCCAGAGGCAAAACCCTATTAATTTGAATTAAATAGTTTTGGGAAAAGTTCAGGCTGTTACTGTTTTGCTACTCCATTAAAAAATCAATAATTGATACAGCAAGTTTCCTCACACTGATAATAGAGTTGCTACTATAATAAAAACAACTCCTGAATTGTATACTAAAACATTGTTCAGACAAGGGTCAGAGTTATATAGGAACAAATTGCAATTAAACAAGGAAAAATAGTGGTTCTCTTTGCATATTTCCATTTATTCCTACTCTGATTCATGAATCCTTCCTCCATCTGGTTTTATTGTGTTATTTCCAAAACAGGAATAGTTAAAAGAGCAAGCTGAAATTAAAACTGATGAATGTAGATCAAAATCTGAGTCTGATAACTATGTTGCTTCTACAAGACAAAATAGAAAATTATACATTTCGTCATTATGGATAAAAAATTAAAGATTTGGGGCACTGGAGGACTCTGTTTAAGTTCCATGTACATGAGCATTAAAAAATTAAATGGATATTATGTGGGTATGCTGAGCCTGGAGATACAGATACCAGTCCAGCTAAGGTTAACCACACTTAAGTCCTGTTCAAATTAATGCATCTTGTTATTTGCTCTAATAGGTCCCATTGATATCAATGGGACAGGTGTGACTAACTTGGGTGGGGAGTCACTATGTAGGATCAAATTCTAGAATACTATTTCCTAGAGCTTTGTTTCATTTTGAGCTTTTTTGACAGGAATATGGCCTAAATAAAACATGAGCATGTGTATTCACTCGTGTCTTTTCTGAAAGAGTGAAATTTTTTAGCAGCAAGGCCACAGGGTTTTTCCTCTTCTCTATGAGAGTACACTGGAGACTTACGGTGTCTTTGTCATATTTGTTATATTTACAAGTACACAAGCAGAGCATAATAGAGGCAAACTGATTCCCTCAGCAGACTGCATAGCTACATCAGCTCTCCCAAAGAACAACTGTACCCCAAGGATGTTTTGGCTTCAGCCAGCTCACAACTCCCTTTCATGCTTTCTTAATTCAAATGGTAAACTAAACCCAACTATTTGTATTGAACAAAATATTGCAGTGTTCCTCCTCCATCCATGTACTTGTTTCATTATCCTATACTCACTATGTTCAGTCCAAGTAATCCTAATAAGAGTTGATTTGGGGTTACTACTTTTCTCCATTTGGGTTGTTCCATTATTTTTTTCCTACACGGTTTGGAGCACTGGTAAACTTGCTGTCAGTTCACTCTTATCAGTCTTCCATTTTGGCAACAATCTTGGCAGCATTTACTAAGTGTAGTGATTATGAAGCTGAGGGACATCAGTATATCACTACTAGCTTTGAGCATAATCTTTTGTGTAGTCTGATGCCTTATGGGATTGGCCAACACTTTTGTTAATGCATGTTTAAGGTGGAAAAATTGTGACCACAGGGTTTTAGAAATAATTGTTGAAATAATTGCTGTAAACAGCACCAGAGTCTTACTGAGGGGTGATCCAAACTTATTTGGTTGTCAACATAGCTGATGATTTTGTAACCCTCCCCTCACTGGTACATATTTATTTTTTTATTTTTATTTTTCGATTTATATCCTGCCTTTTTCCTACAAAGGACTCAAGGCAGGTTACATCATTCTCCTCCTCCATCATATCCCCACAACAACCCTGTGAGGTAGGTTGGGCTGAGAGTCTGTGGCTGGCCCAAAGTCACCCAGTTGGCTCCATGGCTGAGCAGGGACTAGAACCCAGATCATCTGAGTCCCAGTCCTGTGCTCTTCACCACCACACCATATAATTTATTGTATGGCAAATCACAATAAGGATTGAGAGGTACATACAGCAATGCCACTTACATTGAGTCTGAGTGAATGAGAGTAGGCATAGTGTTGTGATTTGAACAGTGGACTTCAGTTAGGGAAAAGTGGGTTTAAATGCCCATTCAGTGATGAAGCACACTAGGTGACCATAAACCCATTAAAAGTGCATTCCTCTTGACTGTGCCCTCAGTGTTCATATGTCCCCAAATTTGGAGGCTTACAAGCATCCATTGCAGAGTGGAAGGAGCAACAGAGATGAACTCTGTGCCTCCTGCTCTGCCTTTTAGCTGGAAAGCCATTCTTTGCTCTCTAGCTGAGGTTCTTCAGTGGAGGAAGAAAGGCCATTGTATTTTGCATCCTAGGGTACCTAGTTTCCTCCTCTCCAGCCTGCAAAATATCCCCTTTACTCCTTCTCTCAGGTTGATTTCCTGACCTCAAGGAGGCCAGAGCATGGTTCCTTCTAGGCTGCTGTGAGGGGCAGAGGGGTATCAAAGTGTAGGTTCCCAGCTTGACAGAGCTCTGGGAATTCACATATACCATGCACTGCCCCCCACCCCCCGGATATCTAGTGACCGTATGATCACTCTCTATAACTCATACAGTGAATTGATTAGACTGTATATCATGTTTATTCCCTGAGGCTGAAGGAAATATCAACTCCCGGGCATCAAACAGAATATTAATCCATCTTGCAATGTATGAAGCACCATTGGATCATCTATGTCTGTAATTCTTCTGTCACTGCAGTCAATTTAGATGTGGGTCTGCAAGAAAACAAGTCAGGTAGCATAATAATCCAAGCAGAAACATATTTGACGCCAATACAGTTAATCTGTGTTTCCTTTTAATAAAGTGCGCGCACACACACACGGGGTACATTCTTAGATCTTAAAAACTACTCACATCACATTACCTCCAGGCATGATACTGTGTTGGCAATATTTATTTAATTTTTGATTTATATCCTGCTTTTTTCCTACAAAGGGCTCAAGGCAGCTTACATCTTCTCCTCCTCCATCTTATCCCCACAACAACAACCCTGTGAGGGAGGTTGGGCTGAGAGTCTGTGACTGGCCCAAAGTCACCCAGTTGGCTCCATGGCTGAGTGGGGACTTGAACCCGGATCGTCTGAGTCCCAGTCCCACACTCTTAACCACTACACCACACTGGCTCTCATTAGTGCAACATTAGGCCTTATCCTGGCCATTATGTCACTTACAATGTAGGCCTAATACATGTCTACCCAAAAGTAAGACTCATTGAGTTTCAAGTGGCTTATTTCTGGTTAAGTAGATATGTATCAGCCTCAAATGACTAACTAGAAAGATGAATTAAAATGCCATACTTGAGGCAGGGACTGCACTGAATGATCCTGAACTGCTCTTTCAACTCTTATCATTATGTTGTTAGTTGTAAAGTCGCGTCTGACCCATCGCAACCCCATGGACAACATTCCAAGGCCTTCCTGTCCTCCACCATCCCCCGGAGTCCACCTGAGCTCACACCCACTGCTTCAGTGACTCCATTTAGCCACCTCATTCTCTGCCGTCCCTGTCTCCATTTGCCGTCAATCGTTCCCAGCATTAGGCTCTTCTCCCACGAGTTGTTCCTTCTCATTAGGCGGCCAAAGTACAGTAGTACCTTGGCTCACTAACTTAATCCGTTCCAGGACTCTGGTTGTGACTCAAATTGGTCATGAGCAAAGTTAAATTTCCCCATAAGGTTCAATGTAAATAAGGCTAATCCATTCTGTAACATTTTTTTTAAATCAGAAAAATGTGAAGCAAAGTGACAAAGAACAAAGATCGTGCCCAACTCCCCACCCCGAGCGCAGCCATCTCCCCGCCACCCACCAGCACAACTGAGATCGCACCTGTCATCCCTGCACGTGCCTGTCATCCTAGTGCGCTGGGGGGGGGAGAGATAGGAGTGATTGCAGGTGTGCTGGGGGAGGGAGAGATGGGCGCAAATGGGGCGTGCTGGGGGTAGGAGAGGTGGTCGTGATCTCGTCCATCTCCCACCCCCCACCCCCAGCACGATCGCGGCCAGCTCCCCACTCGGGATCACTCCTGTGATCATGCACATCTTCCCTGCACGAACACAACTGCGATTGTGGCCATCTCCCCACTCGGGGGGTCGGGTGGGGAGATGGCTACGATCTTGGTCACCACCCAATGCAGAGTTTGCGCTCCACTTCAAAATGTCCAGGAAATTTTTGTTCGCACCCCAATTTGGTTGTGAACCAAGGCGTTCGTGAGCTGAGGTACCACTGCATTTGAGTTTCATCTTCAAATCTGGCCTTCTAAAGAGCAGTCAGGGTTGATCTCCTCTAAGACTGGCTGGTTTGATCTCCTTGCAGTCCAAGGGACTTGCAGGAGTCTTCTCCAGCAGCACAGTTCAAAGGCCTCAATTCTTTGGTGCTCAGCCTTCCTTATGGTCCAACTTTCACAGCCATACATTGCAATTGGGAAAACCATAGCCTTGACTATACACACTTATGTTGGCAAGGTGATGTCTCTGCTTTTTAGTATGCTGTCTAGATTTGCCATAGCTTTCCTCCCTAGGAGCAAGTGTCTTTTAATTTCTTGGCTGCAGTCACCATCTGCGGTGAACTTGGAGCCCAGGAAAATAAAATCTGTCACTACCTCCCTTTCTTCCCTATCTCTGTCTGCCAGGAAGTGATAGGACCGGATGCCATGATCTTAGTTTTCTTATACATGGATGCTTTCAGTTACCAGTGGGGTATTTTAGCACTGTAGTTTTCAGCTTCATGGTAGCTTCTGTAGTACACATTCTAAGTTTCTTGCATGATAAAGCACTGTAACTTCTTTTCCCTACCCTGGATTGTGTGTAACCTCCCATTCATAATTACTTGTTCCATGTTGTTCAAACCCAGAGAGATGGGAGTGAGGGTGGTTTCCAAATCACCCCACAACCCATGGCTTTTTCTAGAGCACCAGAGTGCTTTGGAAGCCATTCCTGCTGCTTAGCCTTGGTGGGATCAGATGACACCTGGCACAGGTAATGATGGAAATGAGGCAGCATGGCTGAGGGGGGACTTTTCTTTCTTTGATCTTGTGAATCCAGTCATCTGGTGCAGTGAATAAACAAATTTGGGACTTATCCAATGTTGTAATGAAACTGAAACTAACCACAACATATGTGTATCACCTAAGTAACAGTCCTTAGTCCCTTAGCAGCTGCAATTTCCTGGAATTGTGGAGCTTTGGTAAATATGGAGAGGAACAAAACCTGTTAAATTTATTTATAAATTGAATAAAAAGATGCACCCCTTATAAAGCACATACTATAAATATGGTGTTGTATCCAGGATTAGACTAAAATTCCATTCAATGGGACTACTTTAAGTAGGATCAACACTGGATACAACTCATAGGTTTTTATACCTATTAACTATTAAAAATTGACTTTACATCTACAAGCATTGCCAATTGTATTTCAGTTTCGATGCTGAGATGTCTTATATTAACAAGGCCACTTTGGCTGCAATCCTACTTGGGAATACTCCCACCAAATCCAATGGGGTTTACCGGTAAGTAAATATGTTTAGGATTGGGCTCTTTAAGCGGCAAATATATTGCCTAGAGAGCATTTTTCAGCCTAGTGCCCTTGGGTGCGTTGCATTCCGAGCCGCCAGGGTGGAGAAGCTTGAGCTAAAAGGAACCGTGAAAACATGCGTTCGTTACACACGTGTTCCCTACTCTTAAAGAGCCCGCTGCTCCCAGCGCCTTCCCCTTTAACGGCTATTTGCGTGGTTTAAAGCGGCAAAAAGACCGGGAGCCTCCCCACTCCACCGCGCATGCTCGTTTTACCGGGTGGACGCAATCTGAGTCGGAGCGAATCATCAGCTCCCTTCCAATTTCGAGCGCTGGCGTCACAATTTTCCGTTCTTCCAATAAGAGGCTGTGTTCTGAGGCCCGAAGGAGGGATCAAGTTGTTGGGTTGGTGGCCATTTCCTCAGGGCTTGTGGTACCGGAAGTAGCCGTTGCAAAACCTCTCCCGGGAGACGCTGGGCGTGGCTTGGCCTTCCCTTGTATCCCTGGGTCCTAGTGCCTTGCGTCGTTTTGCTTTGGTTGTTACTGACTTCGTGCTCTTGCTCTCAAGTGCAAGCACGGCGGGCAGGTATGAAGACGGAAGAGCAACGGAGATGGAACGTGAGGATATGGCATATTGGTGGGGCAGCGATTTCCTTGAGTAAGCAGAGGCTGGCAGGGGAATAGTTGAAGCCCAGGGATTTAGGAGAGGAAGTTGAGCCAAGTTCTTCGGTTTGTTTGTGTAGCTTTTTAGACGAATAAAGCCTGTTAGGCGATGTGTGGCAGTTACAGCCGAGGCGAAGTAGTCACGCCCTGCAGCCTTTGTGGTCGTGTGCGAGAAGGAACAATTGCCTTAGGAGGAGGCAAGGACAAACAAGTTGTATCGCAATAGGATTGCTGCCCCCCCTCCCCCAGCACAGCTCCTGAATGTTGCCGTAGCGGGTAGAAACTTGTCAGGTAGAGTCAGTCTGTCGTAGCTCTGAGAGGTCACTTGTTGAATGTCTGCCTACCCTGCAGCTGTTATAAGCAAAGAGGATTCCCAGAAAGGAAAAAAAAAGATGAAATGCTAGGTGAGCAAAATTAACGGAATAGGTGTTGTAATGCTAGGAGAGGAAAATTAATGCAATAGGTATGCTGACTTCAAGCATTTTGCAACTTTTAAAACTTGAATTTGTCACCTACATAACACACACTTCCCTTGTGAGGTTATGAATGTGTATCATTTTCTAGCCTAGCGTGCCATGTAAAATCTTAGTCGGTGCTAATGAGTTTCAGATTGTCCTTCATAGAATTTTATCTTGAACCTTTTTAGATTGACTCTTTTTAGCTTCTTCAGCTTTAAGCCTATATTCATGTATCTTGGAGTAAGCACCATGACACTCAGTAGGGGTTACTTCTGAGTAGACATATATAGAATTGCACTGACAGATGAGTAGGGTCCACTATCAACCAGTTTGAGCAAAGGAACAAAGCTGAGATTAGATTGCTGTGACTGCAAATAGTAAGTGATGTGATTAATCTTTAAGCTCACCTACTTGCATACTGCAATTAATCATGTAATCTGTGTGGCAAATGAGTGGTGAATGGAAGCAACACTAAAGGGTTCCTTTTACTGGGTGACTGTGTATGACACCTAAAGTACAGAACGGCCATGTAGTCACCCTGGCCTTAACATTACCTGGGGCCCCTGCTCTGGCCAGCAAACAATATGGTACAGTGGTGCTCTTGAGGAAGCTGTTCCCCACTCAGCCTTCCCACTGTGTGTGCACACTGAGGGGAGTGTAGTAGGGGTGGCAACTGCCCAAAAGGGCCCAAGCAGCACTTTTAGGCAGCTGTCAGGTAGCTCCCACTGTTGATCACAGCAGAGACAGGTTGCTTGGCAACCTCACTGCGCCAGGACTGGCAGTGGCAGGGAATGAACTGTTATTTCCCTGCTCCTGGCATGCAAACTGCCCTGCAGGGTGATTGGCATGGCAGAGGGATCATGTTCCCTGTGCTTACTCCTGGGTAGACCTGGGAGAATGTGCCTCTTCCTCTCCTGCCCTGCTGTGTCAGTCATTCTATAGGATGATTGGTACAGTGGATTGTGGGGGGAATTGTGTTCTGGAATTAATCCCAGGTAGATCCAGGAGAATGTGCTTCCTTCCCCCCCCACCCATGGCTGGCACATAGCAGACACAGGCAGCAAAGCTGCCCTATAGCATCTCCCCAAGCCCTGAATGGGCAGTCTGATTGGCAGGGAAGCTGGTGAGATCTGTTCATTTGCACCACTGGTGCTTTGCAGGTGCCTCTCATTAGTGCTCAGCAATGGGCAGAGTGACACAGGGATTGTGGGGTCATGACATCTGCATTTGGATGACAAGGCAAGCCATGGAAGGTTAAATGATCCCTGCAATAAGTGATGGCTTGTTAGATGTCTTAAAGCCGAAATGAAGCCATCCTGAGAAAATCATCAGAGGTTTGAACAGCATGCTAAGGCAGTGTCTTATGAACCCAGCTGTATCTACAGTATTGCTCACTGCTCAGAATATTTTTGATCTGAATGACATTTTGGGAACTTCCTCTGTGCAGGAGCAAATAGGGAAGATCAGCTGGATTTCTGTTTAAGTGCACTAAACTGGAATTACTTCAGTGCACTAAATACATGTTTTAAACACACAAACCAACACAAACGTAAAATCATAGGCAGAAATCCCTTACATACTTAACTGAGAGCAACTCCCATTGAACTTAAAGGTATGTACTCCTGAGTAGACAAGCGCACCAAAAGCTGCAGTCCTGTATGCAGCTACATGAAGCTAAGACTGAATGAACACAGTACAGCTTTGTTCAGAGTAAATATGCATAAGCTTGTGAATTTGTGTATGATGGACTGTGACCTTCACATATAATGTCATACATTTTTAGCTGTTTCTACCCATCCCGTTTTGTTCATCAACAAAAATGTCAAGATGATTCTTCTAAGCTGTTTTTTAAAATTACTATTTATGTCCCTTCCTTATGATATTTAATGCTACAATATCATTATTTTACAATGAGCTGGGCCTTTTCAGCTCAGGTGCCCATGTTATACAGTGCTCTCAGAGAAGCAACCCTACTTTCATTTTAAACTGGCTTCAACTTCTTCTCAAGTTAAGCCTTTTCAGGGCAGCTTTTCCAGTCTTGCTATTGTCTCTTGGAGAGTAAAAGCCCCAGTGCAGCTGGCTGGGGCATGTTTGGAGTTGTCAGGTTTTTTTCTGTCTAAACATGCATAGGATTGAACTCTAAGCCTACTTTCCTGCTGGCTTTTCATCCAGTTTAATTTCTGCTTACATTTCAATTCTGTTTGTGCTGTAATTCCAAACTGCTGTTTTCATTTCTCAATTGGGTTTTTTGTCACTTTCTGTAAAGAATGGGGATGTCACAGTTTAAAAATAAGCAAAGCAATTAAAATCTTTAATATGCTTACTGAGAATTTAGTCTCACTCATCAGGAACTACTCCCAGGTTAGTGGGTATACAATAGAAGCTTTAGTCTTCTGCATATTGTGCATGGGTTTACACATGTAGCCACAACCTACACTGTGTTGAACTGTAGTTTGTTGTTATGAGTGAAACTAGAAAAATGGGATAACTGATTGCTAACCACAAGTGAGGGACATGGAATAATCAATTCAAGTTGCAACAGCCCAGATTCAGACTAGATAGCAGGAGAAGTTTTCTCACTGTCAGAGCAATTGACAGTGGAACCACTTGCCTAGAGAGGTCATGGGCTCTCCCACACTAGAGACGTTAAAAAAGAAACTAGACAGCCATCTGAGTGGGATGGTGTAAGCTGATGTCCTGCAACAACAGAGGGTTGGACCCGAAGGCCTTCATGACCCTTTCCAACTCTACTATTCTATGATTCTATGAAGCAACCCATGAAGCAAACCCATGGTTTGTGGTTGGGTTCTGAACACTGGGTTCTTTATACCTTGGGTGGTCATTATGTGTAAACTCAAAATTCAGGGTTATCCATGGTTGTTTTGCCAGGTTGCAGGGTTGGCAAGAAAGAGTGGCTAAAAAGTCCACGGCTATTCTATTTTCCAGCCCTAGTGTAACAAAAAGACATTTGAAATACAGGGGCAGAGTGAGCAAAGAGGGTAGGAACCAGGAATTAACCAAACAGCCAACAATTTGTTTTGCTCACCTGGCAGCGAAACTCTGCGTTAACACTGGCAAAAGGAACAACCCATAGTTAATTAAACCATGCATTTGTTACCTGTGGATTCAATGGTCTTTCTCTTTATATACTGATTTAAAATAATGTTTATGTCTGTCTACACAACATCATAGTTGACTGGGCTATTTTTTAAATAATGTGTCTATGTAATTGTATTCATCTTAAAAATGAAACATATTCATCTTACAGTAACAATAATACTGCAATATTTAAACTCCATACTGTTTTCATCTGGTGTAAATTTAGTCTCCCTTGGCACATTTCAAACTAAATACCTGCCCTTACTGATTTCCATTAATTGGAAATATGACTTGATTCATGCATTACAAGCTGGGCCTGTTCCTAGTTAAGCTGTCCAGATGCAAAAGTGGACAGGGCTCCTCCATTTTTAATAGCAATAGAAGATGAGATTTCACCAGGCACAGGTTGCATATCAAACTATACCTGTGAACATTCTCTCTTTTGTACTACTGTTGAAGGTGCAAGGGGACTGCCCCCCCCACCCCCACTGCCTAATTCCATTGATGTTTGATAGAGGCTTGTTGTGTGAGTGGGCCTAGCAGAACAGCCCATGCGGTGGCTGATAATATATAAACCTCTCCTGTGGGTGAAAACAGACAACCAGTTGCCACAGACACCAATGTGTCTCCAGACATCTTCCTTTCTGTCCACTGAGACATCCTACTCCTCCCAATTTTTATTTAAAATAAAATTTGTTTTCTTACCGAAGCTTAGATTACTTCAATATGCAGCTGAAACCTCTAGTTGCTGCCATCCTAATCTTCCATGAATACTTTTGGACAAGTTACTTGTTCTTTGCATGGCAATAACAATTCAAAAAGATATACATCTCACAAATATTTGTGAAACTCAATGGCTTAAACATTTTAAAATATATCTTGCTACCCTGGGGACTTCCCATGAGGTACCTCTGAGACATCTTGAAAAGACTGCCATGGCTGGCAAATTGGGATTGCAAAAGCTGCCTTTTCAGATTGCTTTTGTGATCTCAAGGATTTTTAAAAACGCAGTTGGAAAGCTACATTGACTTGAAAACAGTTTTTGACTGTTGTGGGGGTGGAGGGAAGCCTTTGCCAGCTGCCCCCAGTGCTTCCTGGGCTCCTTTAGGGGTGGATGGCAGTGGCAGTCATCACCTAGCTACTTGGCAAGAGTGAACTTGACTCACAATGAGTCATGTCATCCAGGTTTAGACAACTTGATAACTTATTGTGGGTCCAACAAATGAGTCATGGGTTGTCAATATAACTTATAAGCCAAGTGTAAATTACTCTAACAAACCCTCCACAGGTTCTCACAACAGCCTGCTGTGACTTTATAAACCATTGTGGATTTTTCTGTTGCAGAAAAGCAGTAAATGTATTCATATATTTTATTCACCATACAGTAGAAGTGTAAGCAGCCTATTTTGTTTTGTATTAGATCAGTTTGTTTTGCTTTGTTTTTTACTAGTTCCACTAATCAAGACTCTAATACAGAAGATACACATTTAAGAGTTAAAGGGATCCTGAGCCTAAAAATGTGTTTTGAGTAGCAGAACTGAATGTGACTTCTGCACAAAATACACTCTTGGCTGCTCCTTCCATCTAGTGCCATCTTCCATTCCAGCTAGTGCCATGCTCTTCCATTCCAACTCTTGGAGGATTCTTCTCCAGGGAACTGTAGCTTTGGCTATAAACAACATTCATCTGGAATTATCAGTGTTCACATACGAGTGATAGTCCTTAGGACCTTTTGGACCTTGGTTGTAACAGTATGGGGCATAATTTAAAGCAACAGCTGTTTTCATACTGCTACTCACCTGAGACATTCATTTTTTTCTGAATAGGATTATGAATATTTAGGCGCTTATCTTGGGCTGCTTATGAAAAGAGAAGGTGAGGCAAGGCATAATAAGAGATCCCTAAATATTGAATAGCACAGTGAATAGCATGGATAATCTTTGTAACTTAAAAGAGATATGCTAGAATGTTATTTTTGACTGGAGGTTTATACAGCTTCATTGAAACTACCCTATGCGGTTTTCCCTGCAAATGACCCCTGTATATTTAAGTGGGATTTACTTCTGAGTAAGTGCATTTAAGATTGCTGTACTGATTCTTTGAAAGTGATATGACTGTGAAAATGATGGTAATCTTAAGCCCTTGTATTTTGGGGCAGGCCTTCTGAGAAGACATTTCCACATAATTACAGTGAGCCTGAAATGGAAACTAAGGAAGATCTGAGAAGGAAGCTCCATCAAGCCAAGAAAGAGAAACTGGATATAACTGCAAAGCATAATGCAGAGGTAAATACTTCATTTGTATGCCGGACTTCTTTATACCATGCAGTTGTCTTGTTGTATGACTTGGCTTTGTCTGTTGTCACCCAACACTCCTCTTACCCCATGTGTGTGTCAAGGAATTTTTGTGAAGATAGATATAGGCGTTCCAGTGCTGTCTTTTAAGAATAACCGTAGTGAGTCAGAGAGTTAGCAGCTGCAGCTACACAATCCTTGATCCCTGAAAAATCAGGCAGTGCAAGCAAGTTCATCCTGCAACCCCAAACTTTTCTTTTTCCTTGGGCTTTTCCTCCTCTTTCTTAACTGGACAAAAAGACATTTGCTATAAGGAGAAAAACTATTTTCATTAGATTTTAATTTTGTTTAATTTTTTCTTTGCTCCTCCTCTTACTGTGCAGCAAGAAATTGGAATGGACTTTGAGCCAAAGAGCGATTTCAGTCATGCCTACAGGCTTGGGCATGCCCAGTGAAGTTTTGACTTTCTCCAAATAGTTGGTTTATCACAGTTTGATTTCTGAAAGCTCCTTCAGTGTCAAAGGGAGTTTCTTGGGTGGTGTAGAGAGTGATAGCGGTGCTGTTGAAGAAACCACATTCTCTCGGTCACATGGGGATAGTTGCATGGTTCTTTGGATTTTTCCATGGCTTCCCATTTGATTGCCATCTATTTCCTATTGGACATTGAAGGGAGTTACGAATTTTTGGAATATCGGAAGCTCCCTAACAGTGGATTCTGGTTGTCAGGCAAGATTAGTTCCTTCCCCTGCCTGGAGAAGACCAGAATCGGAACTAGTAAATTCTGCAGGCAAACCATGTGCTCTAATAGTGTTTCACTGTTTGTATGTTGACTTAGTGGAAGAAGATGGGCTTGAAGGTATGACATTTTGTTGCAGGAGGGAAAAATATGTTTATGTTGTCTGTTCAGATACACAGGTGCATACCTGATCCTCCAGTCACTGTGATCTGCTAATTGAGCTGCTTGGGAGAGGGAACACAGTTCATCAGTAGCACATCAACAGGGGATTTCCTTCAAATAAAAATCACAACTTCTGAGGGGGGATTTTCCTCAGTAGCACTACAAGGGAGGAGAAGATGAAACTTCCTTCCCACTTACGCTCTGATCATTATCAACCCGCTCTGCACAATCACCACTGCCCGTTGTCACTTGTTTAAATCACCATGGTATTGAAAGCATGGCTGGTCATGTCATGTGAAGTGGAGGACCATGATTTACCAGCGAGACTTTACCAGTCCTCAGATAACCACTGGCCCTCTGTGGGTGACATGGCTTGAGTATTCAACATTCAGCCCTTCATGTTCACCCAGCAACATCCAGTTGGGCCTTTTAATGTTGACTTCTCATTACAGGTCCAGTTATACCTGAGAGATTCCAGCTGATTACCTCCTTCCTGAAGAAGTAGTGATGAATGACTTTCTTACATACCAAACATTGTAGTGTCACTGTTCCATCTAGCGGGGGGGGGGGGGATATTTCTTTTCCTTGTTACTTGATAGATTATGAGGACAGTCAGTGAAGCTCAATGGAATCTAGCACATTATTCTTGTCATTGGCATCTTGTATACATCTCTGCATCTTATGTTGATCTGTTACCTGATTTCTCAGGCATTTTCTGATGGAAGCATTGCAGGATTTCCTCATAGCTTTGGACACTTCAGTTACTTCACACTTAATGGGAATTCCTGGATTTACTTCTTGGGTCTAAGCAAAAGTGAGAAGGTAAACTGCCTCTTGTGCACTCACTGCCTCTTTTTTTCAGTCAGTAGTCCAGGAGTCTCCCATTCCTGGATTGTTGTCATGATGTCCAAACCCAGAAACTCAGAGAGTTGACTCAACAACTCCAGGTCGTTAAATCTCTAAGCATTCTATGCCAGCCCAACCCTCACAGCAACAACCTAGGAGCACCTGTTAAGTGAAAGCAGAAACAATCAGTGTGCAGGATGCAGCATGCAAGTTTGTTTTCCCTCAGCTGCAATAATTTCTGGGAACTGCTGTGACATGTGAACTAGGTCACCTTCTGATTGCAAAATGATTTAAAAATTGTCTCAAATAGTATGTCACTTGAATATTTTCAAAGTTATTTATGTTTGGATTAATCTCTTCCTTTTACAGCTATCAAACTATGAAAGTCAGATTGCCAAGCTGCGAGCAGAAGTTGAGAAAGGTGAGGCTCTTCGACAAAGCCTGGAATATGAACTTGCAGTTGCAAGGAAAGAAGTTGGGCTAGAACGGTATTCATCAGAAGACAAATTAGGTGAAGCAAATAAACAAGTTGAACATCTTCAAGGTATGCTTCCAAACTCAGACTGAGTAATGAACTGTGAGTACAGTGTGGCTGTCTTGTTGCCCATCTTTCTCATGCATTAGAAAATATGGGTGAGTTCCTGGATCAATCTGTTTTGCTGTAATAATTCAGCATTGCAATGCAAATTGTAAGAAATCCACAGCCCCAGTAAATTTCTAACTTTTTGTGATTTTCCTATGTATTTAAATAGAAGAAAGAGAAAAATACATGCTTGTTTTAATAACGTTTTTAGAGTACTTCAAGTCACCTAGCTTTGTTTTTTCTCCCCA